CTGATTATCCATGAGCAAGCTTTCAAACTTTTAATATACATTTTTTTGGAAAATCTGTGAGAAAAATGAATGAGAAATTGAGTTCTGAAACTGTGGGTGGTCACTGTTAAGCTCCACTGACAGACAAGTAAGGAGAAATAATTTATCTCTAACCTGGCAGCATCTTAATTGGAAATGTGCACTGACACACAGGGTCCACAGAGGAAGCAGCACTAGTAACAACAGAAACTGTGCAATGTGAAAATATTGTTTCTGTTGAACAAAAATTGGCTCAAATCTCAAAATCACTACTACTGAAGCTTTATTAGATCTCAAAATATGCGTGGAATACTTTCTTTTTACTCTTTAAGTACATTTTTAAATGGGTAGTTTAGTTTTACTTGAGTATATTTATGTTTTACATTTTTAGTTTTACTTGAGTATATTTATGTTTTATGCTCCAGTATGTGTACTTTTACTTAAATTATCCAAATGATTCTAGTGAAGGTGCATGAAGTTTAAAAATACAGTGGAGCACTTTATGTATTACAACATGACATCACAAGGTGGAGCAGAGTGTTTTCTGTTTAAAAGAAGAACTCAGTGTAAATGTGCAGAATTTGTGTGTTAAACATGTGTGAATGAATCAAAACACAGTTCCAGGTGTGTTTTTGAAGTGGAAAATATTGTGACGTAGTTCATAAACTAACGTAATATAGGCCCTAGACTATTTCAAAATTATCTTAAAATTGCAAAACAAAAGGATGGTTGCAACAAAGGTTTTTCATATAGAATCGTTCTTTTTCAATGTAAATCAGATTTCATTTTTTGTCTTTTCAGGCATCTGCTCTGGGTGTGCTCCTGGCCATGCTAATACTGTCCGCAGGTGTTTCAGTGATGCGCGTGTTCTTTAAAAAAGACGGGAAACTCTCTGACGTGATCTGGGACGAAGGTCAGAACCTGGTGTTCGAGATGGTCCGATCTGCGGCGAACAAGAGAATAAAGGAGGACGTGGAGGTCTTCATCAGCAGAGAAGAGTGGAGCCAGTGTTCTAATGTAGTGGAAGATTTCCTCAAAAAACTTCAACCACCAAATAACATGAGACACTTCAGTCCCAACCAAGACCCTCCTCAACCCGGTCCAGCTGGGGAGAGCTCCACAGCGCCCCCGCAGGACACCAGCTGTAAGCGTTTGGCAGTGTCTCAGCTTTAACCAGAATCAAGACTCTGAAAGACATAAATATTTGGTTTTGGGTGAATGATCACTGGACTGTACGGGGCATTTCTGAGGAGATTTGCTTGTTTTCTGGTCTCTGGTCTTTACCTTTTGTTCAGTGAAGATTGGCAATTCCAGGTCTGAAATTATGCAAATGATTCTAGTGAAGGAGTGTGGAGTTTAAAAACACAGTAGAGCACTTCCTGTATTACCATATTACCACTGTTTGAGGGAAAAACTCAGCCTAAATATGCAGGGTTTGTGTGTTAAACATGTATGAATGAAACAAAACACAACTCCAAGTCTGTTTGTGATAATGAAACAACATTATAACACAGATCAGAAAATAGTATACCGTATTTTCCGCACTATAGGGCACTCTGGATTATAATGCGCACTGTCATTGAATGGTCTATTTTCAAACTTTTTTTTGCACCGGACTATAAGGCGCGTTAAACGAAACACAACAGTTAGATAAGCCAGTCAAATTTTATTTAACGCATTCACAATAACTCTCAACTTTGTTCAGTTGTAACGCGTAAAAAAAAAACTACTAAGACCACTAAATTGTTAGTGTATTCACAATAACTCATAATTGTTCAAACAGTTGGGCGATTACGGCGTCCAGCACGTCCGCATCCCTCTTGTCATTATCTGAGTCAGCGTGGTTACTGTTACCTGGCACTTCAGTGATGATTCTGGTCTTGGTGAAAGCTCAGACCACAGTTGATACTGATCCCTTAGCCCAGGCGTCCACGATCCATTGGCAGATCGTGGCGTAAATCGCTCAGCGCCGTCTCCCTGTCTTGGTAAATGTGTGTTCGCCTTCTCTCATCTACTGCTCCCACACAGCTCGCACTTTAACTTTATAATAGCCTGGAGTTTAAAGTGGGCATTGTAAGCGTGTCTCTTGACAGGTGCATTTTGATATTAAAATGAATCACAGTGTGTATTACTCCGCGATGCTCCTGACTACGGTAGCTGTAATGCTGCAAGTGTTGCGACTTTGTAGTTTACTAAAGTCGTGTTAAGACACTTGAATAACTTCATATATAAGGTGCTCTGGATTATAATGCACGCAGTTGTTTTTTGATTAAATTAAAGGTTTTTAAGTGCACCCTATAGTGTGGAAAATACGGTAATCTGGCCCATCCATGCTGTGAGCTGATTTATGCAGAAATGTGTAAAGTGAATGTAAAAAAAATCATATAATACATGATAAAAGAAAGGAAATTATTAAAATGGCAATATGAAAGTTTGTTTTTTTCCCCTCTAAACTTTGATTTATTGCCTGTTGGACTCAAATATAATGAGAGAGAGAGGCAGGACTGAACAATATATCTTAAACATATTGATACTGCAAATAATCAATAATGACAAAAATAAAAATACAATACAAAGTTCTCCATATGAAAAGAAATGAGTTTTAAAAGTAGACACAAAAATGGCAGATTTTATTCACAATTTCCTTATTGTGTACTCCTTTAACCCAGTTTGGTCTTGGTATAAGTTTTAATTTTGCTTAACTTATTGCGTCAAAAAATGTAAGTACCAGTATTGCTATGATATAGTTTTACAATACAACATATACTTCTATCAAATATCTTTATCTCATATCATGTGGCCCTTATTAAATGTATTGGCAACTATTTCCCACAGGACAATGTCTGTGCAGCTAAACTAACTACACAGCAACGGTCACTATGTAATGATGGATCCTTCACAGCCATCCCCCCTCCCGGCAGCTGAGAGTGTTTCTTAACCTTCTATGAGATCAGTAATCTAGTTTGCTTGGTTATATTATACCGTTTAATCAAATATGAATAAAACTGTAAAACTCCAAGTGCGCACCTCTCTGAATGTGTAAACGTAATGGGATGTTATAGCAGATGAAGCTCGTCATTTTGGCTAAAGTGCAATTGCTGTAGTTCATTTTATTTGTTTCGTGTCTTCGGATGGAAAACAGATGCTGTTAAGAAACCCCCAAGCTGTGTTTGCTTTACAAATACTTGTTTTCAGTTACTGTATGGTCTGCACACTGATGTTATTTATAATATATTTGGTAGGCGATTGCAAGAATGGAAGAAGTCCCCAGCCAACCCACATGCACGATGGACCATCCAGGATTTGAGCCTGTGTGTCTCATTATACACTCCCTTCAAAATGCCATTAATGTGTACAAAGCAGTTTGGAACATAACATCAGCAGTGGAACAGTAGGTTGACTTTTTCAATATGGTGCCAATTTATTGTCAAACAAACGCTAAACATTATAACAAAAGTACAATCAAATAAAACATATGATAATGCACATTGCATCAATAAATACAAGAAGTACTTTACTGGCACTGCAAACACAGACAAATACAAAAATATTTCACAATAAGTATTACACACTATATAACTTTGTTTTAACTTTAGTCTCACTGCAAGCACACCCAATAAAAAACTTAAAAAAACACAAATACATAGAGTAACTATAAATATTGTACACTGTATAAATGTATATACAGTATATATTTACTTTAGTCTGCAACCACAAGGTTTTAGGATGACGTCCAACCTAAATATTCTAATCCAACCCTTTTCGCAGGTTGTTCCTGTTTAATTTTGTAATGTTTAATACTGCTGCAAGAATAAAAAGTACATCTGTAAACTATTCTGTAAATCTGTAAAGATTGTAATGTTGAATAAAATGTGTAATGTGTGTAGAATTTACAAAGAAAAAAACAAACAAACATGTTTCTCAAACTAAATTATGAAACGTGGGGAAATCTGACGGCTGTGCTATACTTTTGAATTTTTACTTTTTGAATTTTACAGAGAAAAACCTAAGAACCAAGTACCCCAGAACAGTGGCCCCATCTGCTGGAGAAGAATACAAGAACCAGACCTCCGGGTTCACAATATTCAAACACAGAACAAACAGAAATCTCCGGTCACAAAATTTCATTTATTTTTTTATTTTCTTTTTTTTGCCCGTAAACCAGATACGATCGGAGCACCTTCCTCCAACTATGCAAGTGTAAGATCTTATTACAGATCCATGCCTCCATACCATTCATCAGATTATTAGACTCACATGCAGCTGTACTCAGGTTAGTCTCAGTTCTGTACAAGTTTTATTACCGACTGTTTTGTAGTTTGTATTATGTTAGCGGGGTTAGTATATGGAATTACCTGAGTGATGATTTTAAAAAGTCTAACACTGTAAAAGCCTTTAAATAAGAGTATAAAGCATTATGTTTTGAAAGCTATAGAGCTCTGGAATGAATGAATTATGCATTAAATTTTGTTTGTTTTAATTTATATTTTGTCTCTTTTATATACAGTAAGTCGTAAGTAAAATTGTAAATGTTAACTTGCTGTTCATAAGCTGTTTCTTTTTTGGAATTCTGTCATTGTTTAAAGGGTTTGGCATTATAAGTACTTTTTACTTCAGCCTAAACACTTTGGGTCATGATCTATGGGATTGTAGTCTATGATTTGTTTTGTTTTGTAGTGCTGCAAAATGACCGAATAAAATACTACTACTATTATACTGCTATTACTATTACTTTATTACTAATAGAAGGCCTCTGTGTCATTAGGGAGTCTCCCCTTTAATTGCTTTACCCTCTTAACCTCTTTTGACATGAACGGGAGCAACACTAATCTTTTGAGGGGCCCCATATGGGAAAGAGGCAGTGGCCTGGGGACAGGTAGCAGCAGTGCCGCGGTGCATGCTGGGAGTTCTCGGAGCACAGGTGTGACTTGGATCACTGTTCACTTCCTTCTTTAATTGCACTGAGCCTCCGTGAGTCCGGACGTAGCGGACCGGACCTGATCCAGTGTGAACGAGCCGACACTTCCCATTACACTACCTCAGACACCGGGACGGCGATTTTGCACAACTTTAAAACGCTGACTCTAACTTAACTTTTTATTTTTGTTTTTGTTTGTTTTATTTTATTGGACAGAAGCGAGACCGGGAATGGGAGTGTCGCGGATTTAACAGAGGAGCAGTGGTTTGATTAGATTTCTTTCCAGGTTTAGATCAGTGTTTTGTAGATTTTGACCGCCCCGTGGAAATAAAATGGACGGATTGGACTCTGGACAGAAATTTAGTCCGAAAGAGGTGAGTGTTTCTTTACCTGTAGCAGGTGCACAGCGGAGAGAGACGCACAGCCTACGCAACCACGTCACACCGAGAGTGAGACTGACAGGCCCGCGTTAGTCATAGTGTTGTGGCTGATTTTCACAGAGAATAGAAACCAGGATTATCTTGTTTGTTTAAAAATGATTAAATATAAATTAGCATGATAATTGTTTAATAGGCTATGATAGGCTTTCTATCTACAGAAATATCTCTTTCTCGTGTGTCAAATGTCTCATACAATCCAAACAGCAGTAATATGATGTTATTGATTTATTAGATTATTTTCCAAGTTTACCTTTTAATATAAGGTATTGGTATTGGTCTGACTGCTGTACTTCTACAGCTAGTACCAGCACCCCTATACTTTACTATTACTTCTAGCTTCAGATTTAGACTACGATATAATAATATGAAAATCCCACAGAAATGATAAATGTACTACTACTATTACTACACTGATATAACTGTTCTAGAGCCGAAACAGATACTATAGAAACTGAAAGAGTGCAGCCTCAGGGAGAGAAATTAGAGCCCCAAAAAGAGAGGACGTAAACCTATATACAGTCTGTGATGTGAACTTTTCAAACTGCAAACGTCCATCATGTTTAGGGTCAGGGTTAAATTTCCTCACGTCGTGGGGTTGAGAGAGAGAGTTTACATTTGTGTTTACAGAATGGCTCTAATTTAGTATGTCAGCGTTTACAGTGACCACAAACCAGATAACCACTCTGCCAAATCAACACAGGAATTACAGGATTGTTTAAGGCAGTGGTTCTCAAAGTGGGGATATGTGTGGATGATCTCCTAAAAAGATGTGATAACAGTGATCATTCACTTCTTATGATATACAATCTCAAGCATGTATGTTTGTTTCATCCAAACATCAATATAAAGATGATGTAAACAATGTTATAGTGATGCCATCATGAGGAAGGGTAAAGAGGATAATTTCATACAGATAAAGGGTCCCTGGACTGAAAAACACTGAAAATCCCTGGTTTAATGACACTGTGATCCAACCTTTCCTGTTCTGATACTGATGCCGATACTAAGGCAGAGACTAAAGAAAGTAAAACTATAATTTATTTCCTCTAAGCACACGGTGTATGGTAAAACAATGAGCCTATCCAAATGTGTTTTGTAACTGTTTCCTATCATTTTAAAAAACAATTTGGGCCAACACTATCCAATAAATCATCTTATTACACAAATTTATAGACCAAATCAGGATACAAATGAACTAGGGGTGTAATGATATTCAAGTTTCACTATATGATATTCTCACGGTATGAACCTCACGGTACGATATTTATTGCAATATCGTGGGAAAGCTCATGATATGGTGGGGAGGCTCACAATTAGGGATGTAACAATATTAAAATCTCTTGTACGATATTTATTGCGATATTTTGTGAAGGCTAATATGCTACTTTTTCCTCTTAAAATGCCGTGACTAGTCTTAATCCAAAGAACTAAGACTTAAAAGTGCTTAGAACTGTTATTTCTTCTTGTAGCCCACACTGAAATGGAGCAAAGGATCATGGTCTATGTAGTTCCCTCTGTTTTTTTTTTTTGTTTTTTTTAAGCTATTCCTGCACCATAACTCTTAATTTAAGCAAAGAGACTTGTAATTTGATATATTGTGATGGTCCACGATATTAATGTGAGAACTTTGACGATACGATATCACGAAATTTTGGTTATTGTTACATCCCTAAAATGAACCAATATCTGATCTATAAAACTGTTCAATATTGGCGCTGATGTCCAATTCCAGTATCATATCATCCCTTGTAATGTTGCTGTTGTAAAATATATATATATGTGTGTGTGTGTGTGTTTTAGGGTCCGGAGTGGGACACATTCCTCCCAGTAGCAGATAGCACTGAAGTGGAGAAGCGCTCTGGTCGAAAGAGACTTTGGATCGGTCTGGGACTCACCGCTGGAGCCGTTTTTATAGCTGTGCTCACCACCGTCCTGGTGCTGAAACATCACCGTAAGGACATTTGTTTTAACACCCCCCCAAACACACACACACTAAACTAAAATTCCACAATCTAATCTAATATCCTGACACTAAGTTATAGGCAAATAATAGGTCATAGATACTCCACACTGATAACGACACTAAGCCTGTGATTTTATTCTTGTTCTGATAAGACTTAAAGGGCCAATATCACGCTATTTTCTGACCTCTTTTATAATGTTGTTTCCCCATCACGTACCAGAGTTGTGTTTTGTTTCATTCACACATATTTTACACACAAAGCACAAGCAAAATATTTCAGCTTCTCTCAAACAGGAAACACACCTTGTGATGTCACGTGGTATTAGAGGGAGTGGTGTGTCCGTTCACTTTTGCTGGAGGCATTTGGATCATTTCAGGCGTGGAATAGCCCATCTCTGCTGAACCGAATATGAAATGTAGTTGCATTTTGAGTTTTGGAGATGTAGACAGAGTAATAATAAAGGGGTTACTCAAACGACTGAAACAAAACACAACTCCAGATATAGTTTTGAGGAGGTATCAGCATTATAATATGATTTAAAGATCACAAGAAACAATTATGTATAATATAGAGCCTTTAATATTGTTCTGTTCAGGAAAGGTCTTGTGTTTTTTCAGTGTCAGTATTCGCTGAAATTAGAATCCAGTTTCTATTCTAGTTTTTGTATCGATTAGTGTCAAATTTTTGTATCAGATTTTTTGACAACCCTAACACAAACACAAAACTGCAAAAGCATCCTTCAATATAATCTATATAAAATACAATAATATAAATTTGGATTTGTTGTTGGTGTTTGTTCTGGTATTTCTACTGATAATAATGCATGTCTCTCTCTTTTTTAGATGAGGGTGAGTCGAAGAGCTCACCCAGAGTCTACATTGGGTCAATGGAGATCCGAAACCGGCCCTTCTATCAGGAATATGAAGATTCAAACAGCCAGCGCTTCATAGAGCTGTCGTCCCTGGTCAAAAAGCAGGTCTGCATCAGGTCTAAATCTAACTAATTTACAAACCACTGCACAACTTTTCTGGTGGAGGGTCCACTACCTGGTGTTATCATGCACAATATTGTCACCGAGTCAAAATAATCTATGAAATATGTTGCTACGTTTTTGAGTGGAAACTTCTTCAGGTCATTGATTCATTGACTTGGTCTTGAACAGTTTTTATTTACAGAAAATCTTCATACTCTTCTTTGATTAATGTTTTATATCTTTTTATTGAGCCAATGTGAAAGGTGCACTAGTTGTAAGGTGTAAGGTCGCCCACCTGCTTTTCTCCATGAAAATGTTATTGCTTTGCCTGTAATATTCCACACTATGGCATTAAATTTACCTGTCTTGCATTGTTCAGTTACAGGTGTTTTATGTTCTAAAACAAAGGTGTCAAACTTGAATTCCCAGAAGGCCAAAATTAAAAACTGGGATGTGGGCCAAACTAAATATTTATTGAAAAATTTCAACAATGCATCTGCATGTTTTCTCTTCTATGTCATGTTAAACCTTTAATATATATATAATGTCTCTATAGTCTATCTGTATCCGGCGCGCCAGCTCTAATACATATCTGATATGATCTCGCAGGCCAGATATAATTATATTGCAGGCCAAATGTGGCCCCCGGGACTGATTTTGACATATCTGCTCTAAAAGATTCTGTGAGCGGGATTACCTCTCCACAGATCTGACTTGTAGCCTGCTTGACTCCATGGTAACAGAGAGTTTAATGCCATAAACAATCCCACACTGCCAGCTCCTCTCAATATGTGCATTTTACTGTGACAGGAAGGGCATCAGGCATAAAAATATCCTAATCTTGACTGAGAAATGATAGCTGCCTAAAACATGCTTCTGTGACATTCATTTTCCTTTAACTTTATGGCGCATGCTTTAAAAACTTCTCTAACTTGGTTTCCTCTTTTTGTCAGGCTGTTCTGTATTCCTGTGTTTGCCATAAACATTTTATAAACAAAACTAATAATAGTAATACAGTAAATGAACTGTATATATTTACATTTAATTTTTATTATTTTTCCTTCAATTTAGCTCAGAATCATCTACAACAAGAACTCAATCCTGGCAGGGCACTTCACAGGATCCACTGTCCAGGCTTTCAGGTATCATCGTCATTTCATTTTCCTCTTTTTTAAATCGTCTGCTCTCACAATGTTTGCATTTCAACTCACTGTTAATTAGTCATGCATTTTGAAACTCATCACCATAATAACCTTTTCCCAAGAGTAACCGTGACTGTCACTTATGCCTCCAGGTGAGTGAGGCAGGTATGTGCTTGTGTTTTTAAATATCTGCATAGCACTGGTGACACTAAACCAGTTTAACTCAGATCGAGACCCGGTCTATAGTCAGGACTAAGGAGTGTCAAGGTGAGGCCCTGCTATAACCTGTTCTGCACTCATCATCAGTCCGTGTTTACACTTAAGATTCAGTTTCTCTTGAGGAAGGAAAGGAGGATAGGAATGATGCTGGTTAATGAGAAGATGAAGGCCACTCAGTTTACAGGAAATGTACGCTAGAGTTATTATAATGTTGACGCCTGTTATTTGCATTCTTCTGTGACAGCACAAAATGTGACTGGTATGCTAATTATCTCAAAAAAGAAACTACTACTACTACTACTACTCCTACTACTACTCTGAGGGCCTTGAAGGTGGAAAAGCGCTATATAAAAATGTGGCTATTTCTACTACTATGAATATGGCTGTGAAATAATTAAACCCGGCAGGACCATAGACTGTTTATATAAATGGATATATCTAACCCTCTAGTTCAGTGTTTCTCAAAGTTTTTTTTCTGGGGACCCATATTTTAAAAGTCACAAACCTTCACGACCCAAGTCAATAGACATTATTCGTAAATCACAAAATAAATGTAGATTTCACCATTATTGAACATTAAAGAAGATATTTTATTGTTGACTGAGTGATCCTGTTTCTCTGAACAATTAGTATTACTCACGTTTTAAACAATGAAAAACATTGGAAGAGCAATAAAAGGGATCCTTAAGTCGCCTGTTTGGATCTTGAATATATCCCTGTATATTGCAGACCTTCATGAGAGCCACCGATCTCATTAGAAAAGTTAAAACATGTTTTGAATAATTTCTGATCTTTTTGTAATTATTTTATTGACTATGTTGTTCCAGTATTGCTGGTTCAATTGATTGTTGAAAAAAAGAAGAAATGGGCTGCATTTAATGTCCAAATAGGCGACTTATGGATCCTTTTATTGCTGGTTAAATGACTGTGTTTCATTGTTTAAAACTTGAGTAATACTAATTGTTCAGAGAGACACGATCACTCAGTCAACAATAAAATATCCTCACTAATGTTCAGTAATGGTGAAATCCATATTTATTTTGTGGTTTATTTTTTGTGGAATAATGTCTATTGCAGGGGTGTCAAACTCATTTTGGTCTGGGGGCCGTATCCAACCGACTTTGATCCCAAAGGGGCCGGATCAGAAAACTCATGGCATATTTATCCCAAAAATAACAATAAGTTCAAATATTTGTGCAGAGAAACACAAATCAAAATATTATAATATTATGCACAACCTGAAAACTTTAAGAAAAATGCAATTTCAACACAATGTTTTAACATGAACTTGTATGCAAATAGGAATAAGTAAATTTTTCTTGGAAAATCCTGTACTCGGCTCCACTTTTCTCATGTTGGACATTTTTCTGATGAGGGTGTCACGGTCAACAGTCAAAATGATCGTCCTTTAAGAGCGTTTGGAAAGAGACAAGTCTTCATTTGTGCTGCTCTGGTGGGAGGGGCCACGTACAGAGACGCTGGAGACGCTGCTAATGCTAAGCACCGCAGAAAATTACCAATATTTAAATAAAAAATATAATTAAAATATTTTAGTAGAAATAAGCCGAGGGCCAGATTAAAGGTCTTGGAGGGCTGCATCCGGACCCCGGGCCTTATAAGCCTTATAAGGTTTGTAACTTTTAAAATATGGGTCCCCAGAAAAAAAGTCTGGGAAACACAGGTCTATGGTACAAACGAGACACAATGAAGAGAAGATGTAGAAATGGTGGTAGGTTAATATGTATTTTATAAAATGAAGCTAACTCATGATTTTGTAAATACCTATCGCTCATTGTTAAGGTGTGTGTTTGTATTGTACGCGTGATGTTGTGAGTGTGTTTGAGTCAGAGAGTGGACAGTGCGAATTATTGTGAACAGAATGTAATTGCTCTGCATAATATTTCTACTTACTTAGCTATAATCTGGTGTTACTTCTGTTATATTACAATGTTATTTCTCTACGTGGAATGTTCCACAGTATGACGTTTAACAGATCTACCTCAAATTTATTCAATTACAGGTGGATTTATAGCTCAAAAATACCTAGAACAACAGGCATTGTGACTGTGAGTGGGGTTGCCTCTCCACAGATCTGACCTTTAATGTGACTTGATTTGGTCTCCATGATGATAGAAAGGTTTATTGTCATAAATGTTAAATATTTAAGACAAAGCAATAACATCTCCATGGAGAAAAGCAGGTGGCGGACCCTCGACCAGAAAAGTTACACAATGCACCTTTGAGACAAAATAACAAAAAACTAAATTAAAATTAAATTAAATTAAGTCAGGCAAGTTTATTTGTATAGCACAATTCGTACATGAAGTAATTCAAGTCAAGTCACTAAAAACAAAATCACAATAAAAACAAATCAAAACATAAATAATCATCAGAAAATTAAAAAGAGAGAGAGAGACATTAAATGAGAGAGAAGAGAAGAGTGTGGAATGAAAAATGAACTTTTCAGTTTTTCAAAATGAAGACTAAACTAATACAAAGAAGCAAAGGTGGGGAATAGAAAGTCATGACTTGGACTCGAGTTTTTAGGACTTGAAACTTGACTTGATAAAATGGACTAAGACTTGGGACTCGACTTGGACTTGGGGCCTGTGACTTGAGAAGACTTGAGAAGCACTTTAAAATCTGAATTATTTCTATTCTGACCGTAATGATTCACACTAACATATTGTCAAGACATTTAAAAAGGAAAAATTAACAAATTTAATACCTCCCACTATTCTATCCTCTGTAAATACTCATATATAAATATACTGTGATTTTTTTAAGTACAATTTGTCTCAAAAGTCATGTAAATAGCAAAAATTTAAGCTGTATTTGGCGCTTTGATTTAAAGACTTGAAATGACTTGGAATTGACTTGGATTTATGGACCAGTGACTTGAGACTCGACTTGGACTTGCCTGTATTAGACTAGGGACTTGACTCAGACTTGAGGTGAAAGACTTGAGACTTACTTAAGACTTGCAAAACAACGACTTGGTCCCACTTCTGCAAAGAAGTACAAGTAAACATCTTCTTAACGCACTCAGCTAAAAAGTGACTTGGTTTATTTTCCAGTGAATCCAGCGACAACAGCATCGTGGCCTATTACCAGTCTGAGTTCTCTGCCCCGGACTCCCAGAAGGCTTTGTTAGATGAAGCCATGAACTCTCTGGATACGAGTCAAACCCAGAGCATGACCGCGGGCAAAGGACGACTGCTTATACCCCCTAAAGATGCGCTACAGGTTAACCAGGTCATATCTGGAGGTACATATACTGTATACACATACACACACATACAAATCAGACCTGGATAAAAAAAATACAGCTAGTACTTCTTTTATCTTATTATAAATTATTTTTTACAGCTATTGATCCTCGTATGAACAGGAAGTCTTTATTTGGTGAGTGGAATATTTTATTCTTTGGCTAATCTTAGTAGTTTTCGAACGAAATCTACAAATCTACAAATCATGAAATATTTGAATTAGGCCTGTCACAATAATTACTGAATTGACTTGAAATTCAGTATATGAAAGCTGGAATAATATTTTTGGGGAGTCAATATTAGTCTTTCTTTGCACTACTGGGAGATTTTGGTTATTTTTTTGGCTACATGATAAGATTTAAGTTGTAAAAGGTAGAATTAATAACTTTTATGACTCATGCAAACTACCATAGTGTTTCTTTCTGCTGTTTATTTATTGCAGCTTGTGTGTGTTTTTTTTTATTATTAGTATTGAACATTTATAATAGTTCATGTTAGATCTTGGGTTGTTTTGTCAGTGGCATAAAGTAGGTTTCAATGTTATCGTTCGTTGTTTGAATCTCTTGTTTTCTATTTTTCCAGTAAAGAAGTCCTTTACGTTGCGAGTAAAAGATGGAGGAGTGGTGGAGTCTCCTGGTTTTCCAGATAATCCGTACCCCCCGAATGTGTTTGTGCAGTGGAGACTCAAGGCAGAACCAGGATACAGGGTCCATCTGGACTTCCACATGCTCATCCTGGAGGACAACTGTGAGCAAGACTTTATCAAACTCTACGACTCGCTGGCCCCCATCGAAAACCGACTAATCACAGAGTAGGAATATTCACCCATCTGCTCCCTTCTGCTCTGCTCCTGCCTGCTCCTGTCTGTGCTGCTCCCCTTTGCTCCTGTCTACTCTTGTCTGCTCCTGTTTGCTCCTTTCTGCTCTTGTCTGCTCCTGTCTGCTCTCGTCTGCTCCTGTCTGTGCTGCTCCTGTCTGCTCCTGTCTGTGCTGCTTCACTCTGCCCCTGTCTGCTCCTGTTTGCTCTCGTCTGCTCCTGTTTGCTCCTGTCTGCTCCTGCCTGCTCTGCTCCTCTCTGCTCCTGTCTGCTCCTGTCTGCCCCTGTCTGCCCCTGTCTGCTCCTATCTACTCCTGTCTGCTCCTATCTACTCCTGTCTGCTCCTATCTACTCCTATCTGCTCCTGTCTGCCCCTGTCTGCACCTCTGCTCCTGTCTACTCCTCTATCCTCCTGTTTGTTCCTCTCTGCTCCTGTCTGCTCCTGTCTATATTTTCCTGCCGTTCATGTTTTATAATCCTCTTCTTTCTCTCGTAGGCAGTGTGGATATCCTCACCAGTCCCTCTCTTACTTCTCGTCTGGAAACGTGATGCTGCTGACGCTCGTCACAAACGATGAGAAACATTTCCCTGGATTCAGAGCAAATTACTCCCAGATTAAGATCAACAATGGTACAGAACTGGATTTTGAAATATCACATAAATTACATGGATCTGTTTGTACTGACACTTTGTACTTAGATGAAAAGTACACAAGCCTGACAGTAGAGGGCAGCGTAAATCAAAGTGTTTATCATTTAAACTTCTTTATTTACACTGCCCTCTAGTGTCAGGCAGAAAGACTGCACATTGTTATTCAGTCATAATGGAAGAAGTATTAAAATTTGTTACTTAAGTAAAAGCAGAGATACTGGAGCAAAAAAATAAAATAAAGTAGAGTAAAAGTACAAGTAAAAGTATTACATGTAAAAATCTACTCACATTAAAGTACCTGTTTAAAATGTTACTTAAAGGGTAAAAAGTAATATTTTTTCAGCTAGCTGTATTTATGTGCATATTTATGTTTTCTCAAAGTATGAAATTATAAATTATTATTAAATTATCCACCCAAATTCAAAATGCACATTCAGCAAGACAGGGAGGCAACGGCGGGTGATTTACTCCACGATCTGCCGATGGATCGTGGTTTCCTGGGCTAAGGGATCAGTCTCAAGTGTCATCCATTTGCTTCGCATAAAGTTGATTTAGCATAATATGTGTTCTTTAATGCATCTTTTAATCTGGTGAGAAGAGAATTCAACATTATTGATATTGCCGCTTTATAATCCAGTGCACTTTACAGTCTGAAAAATACTGTAAATGGACATAGCTAACCTGCTAGAAGCCACGGGGGCACTTCCAGTTCCATCAACTCTGGTTCCAACTGACTTTAGACTGAAAAATTGTCACTCCTCTCTAGCTGTTTTAATGTGCATATTTTTATTTGCTCAAAGTATGAATGTGTTAGAAATGAACCTACAAAAATGCAGTGGAGTAACAATGCCTCACCTCTGGGTAACAATGCTTAGTAGTTCTGTGATGTCTCTGTGCAGAATGCGATGGGTTGCTGACCACAGGGAAAGGCGTGTTCTCCTCTCCCTTCTACCCCTCCAACTACCCCCCTCAGATCAGCTGCTCCTGGGATATACGGGTCAGTCCACACTGTACACACAAGTCCACTCATTTCTACCCCAAACATGGGTCAAGTGACTATGATTATTAACATCTCACAGCCAGAAACACAGCTTCTGACTTTGTTCATATATCTCCTCCACAGACGTCAGTGGATAAGTTCATCAAAATCCAGTTCAGGAAGTTCATGGTGGGTCATGATCAGGACAAGGACTGTTCCAAGGACTATGTGCAGGTCAACGACAAAAAGTGGGTCTCAGATGATAAACTGTTACAAATATCATGTTAAAGGTCCTACATTACGCATTATGAACTTTAAAAATGTTGTTGCCTCCTCAAAAACAGACCTGGAGTTGTGTTTTGTTTCATGCACACATGTTTGAGTAATCTAGCCTGATTCCTTAGAAGGTTTCACTTCATGGAAACCGTCTGACCTCGCAGCATTAGGATTTGTTCGTTCGATGGTAGGCGGGTCCTTTTTTAATTTAACCAATCACTGCTATTTGGTTGTGAAGTATGTTATGCACCACTAACAGGGCTAACTGGTATATTAAGCTTTTCCCAAATTCCGTAGGAAAAAGGGCAATAACGTCCTTCCCCTTGATAAAATTCACTAAACATTCTCTTTGATTTGGCAATTAATCCTCGATCTTGGGAATTGTTGCCAACACAGAATGTATGGCTCTTTGCTGATTGGCTGGTGCCCGGACTCGCACTTCCAGGGTTAGTGTATTCCAATTCCTGACCTAGATGAGAGAAATGAAATTGAGCAGAGGCACTAGGTGGTGCCAGCCTGGCTATGAGTAATCATCTCCAAAGCTCAAAATGCTCTGTTCCACCTTGTGATGTTTTGTAGCTGTACTTTTCAAGTTAACAGCTCCTTTTACCTTTAGTTCTGCTGAAATTGTTCAAATGTAGTGAATGTGTATGGACTTTAAAAACACAGTGGAGCATTACTACATGAAATCATGAGGTGGAACAGTGTTTTCTGTTTGAGAGAAGGACTCAGCCTAAAACATAACTCCGTGTAGGTTTGTGATGAGGAAACATTATAATAGATCAGATAATAGTGTAATATGGGGCCTTTAAGAATTTCTTGGTTGAATAAATAGCTGCTTATCTTCCAATTGATTTAAACTAATAAACCCACAGATTTATATGTAACATTCAAATATTTTCCAGATTATGTGGCAGCAATCTGAAGACATCGGTGCTAACGTTTCGCAGCTCTCAGGTCTCTGTCAAGTTTCACTCAGATTCTTCCAACGTGAACCAGGGTTTTACTGCAGAGTACGAGGCCTATATCCCCACAGACCGTGAGTCTTGTTACACTTTGCACACCCCACCGACCAATCACTACTCTGTAGGTTTACATTAACTTTTTATTAGATGATTTCAGTTGGACAGCAGGACCATACTTTACACATTATTGCCATTTTTAAATAAATATAAAAACTGAAAATCCACAAATGTTGAACAGGATATGAAAAACACTAGAGAAAAACGCTATAGTAATGATCATATTCTAGGATATATTTTGCTTCCTTCCATCTCATGTCACAGTATTCCAAAGGGTCTTTAATTAATTAAATTTAATTTGTTTAGAATCTAGAAAATCATAGACTGTATATATACCGTATTTTTTGGACTATAAGGCGCACTTAAAATCCTTTAATTTTCTCAAAAATCGACAGTGTGCTTATGTATTAATTCTGGTTGTGCTTACTGACCTCAAACCGATTTTATGTGGTACATAGCACTCAAAAATCTGTCAAATTCACTATTTTTTCAGCGCTTGCAGTTTATGCAAATTAGCCATGTGGTTTTAAGTTTGTTTCTGAAAAACGTAAACATATGTGCGCAAAGCTGCATTAAACACATTATTACTCGGTGTATATTTGAGTCTTCCTCACAGGAAATTAAAAAAAACAAAACTTAATCATCCACCCACATTCACATTCATAATACACATTCACCAAGACAGGGAGGCAATGCCGGGCGAATTACGTCATGATCTGCCAATGGATCGTGGAAGCCTGGGCTAAGAATCAGTTGCAAATGTCGTCCCTTTGTTTCACTTTATGCACCTTATAATCCGGTGCAATTTATTAGTCTGAAAAATACCATAAATGGACATAGCTAACCCAGTCGCCACATTACATATAGGAAATGAGCATCAGGGGGCACTTCCAGCTCTATCAACTCTGGCTCCAACTGACTTTACACTGAAAAATTATCACCCCTCTCTCTGTAGCTGTTTTATCTGTTCATAAATTCCTATTCCTACTATGGAACTCGACTCCAGATTTACTCCTATAACCTCTAGAACAGGGGTCTCTCCGGTGAGCTACCTTTACAAAAACAAAATGCCTAAGAGCTGAATCTTGTAGTGGTAAGGTGATCAGATTTTCAAAATTCAAAACTCGGACACTCGGGACCCGAGTTGGGATGGTTGCTATAAATAACACTGTGAAAAGAGCGTGAAACATCATAATCTGAAGGAATTCTGACACTGCAATTTTTTGCTCTGTTGTCATTTTCAGACACTGTTTTAGTATTTTGGCAAAACAAATGACAATCTATGCTCCTCTTTACTGTTAGCAGGGATCAGATTAGTCAAAAATTGTGATAGTCCTGTTTTAGTCCTTTTATAATCCTGTTTTAGACTTGATGTAGTCCTGGTTTAGCCTTAGTTTAGTCCTGGTTTGACAAAATTGGTCAAAAATAGGGACACTGGTCACACTATTTAGCGGATAGTGAAGAAAAGAAATTGAGGATAGGACAGCCTTTGATGGGAAACGGTTAGATACTGATAAAACTTTAATCAATGACTAAGTTTGTGCACTAATAAATGGATAAGTTAGTTCAATTACTTAATTCAGAAATCCCTTGGTGAGCTACTTGGAAGGGGGTGGAGAGCTACTGGTAACGCCAGAGCTACAGGTTGAAGACCCCTGCTCTAGAATCATGAGCTTCATTTGATTGGAGCTGAACACTATGGGTGACGTCACGCTCCATTAGTCCACTGCTTTATACAGTCCAGGGAACAAACTAGGAGTGATGTAGTGATATCTAAAAAATAGATGTATTTCATATTAACTTTGCACAAGTTGTGGATTAACAAAGAAATATTGTTGCTAAAATATATTTGGTTCTTAAAAAACAGCTACATATCACAGAATATCATGTGTAATACTTAGATTAGCACATGTATATCATGATAATATCGTATTGTGAGCCGTGTATCGTGTATCATAATTGTGAGGGACCCTGTGATTCTGAGCCCGAGTGTGTCTGTGTTTGTGTCTTTTCCAGCGTGTCCCGGAAGGTTCCAGTGCGCCAATAACCTCTGCGTGAAATCTAGCTTGAAATGCGACGGATTTGACGATTGTGGAGACGCCAGCGATGAACAAAACTGCGGTACGTCCACTAATAATACCTCCCTCTCCCCAGACACCTCCTCCAGACTCAGACACAATGTTTAAAAGGGTTTTGTTTATTACAGTTTGCACTGAGAACCAATTGAGGTGCAGGAACTCTGGACTCTGTAAGCCCAAGTTCTGGGAATGTGATGGCTCCGATGACTGCGGCGACAACACAGACGAGGAAAACTGTGGTGAGCATTACAAGAATCAGGCCAGAAGTGTCTTGCCCAATGGCACATCAACAGTATTCTAAGACAACAGGAATCAAAGTGCAATTTTTTTCCTTAAAGGTCCTATTTTACTCAAAAAATTACCGTAATTTCCGGACGATAAGCCGCTACTTTTTTCTCACACTTTGAACCCTGCGGCTAATAAAACAACGCGACTAATATATGGACGGATTATTTGTTTAACACATTTGTTGGACATTTGTTTAACACATTGTCCATTCATAAAAGTAATTTCAATAAATAGTAAAAACTGTGGGACTTGAAAGGCAGAGATTTTGTTTGCTTTGTATTGATTTTCATTTATGGGAAAACATATTATGTTTTCTACATGGGACATGTTTTCATGTTATTTTTTTTCTCTTATGAGGTGGATTACCAAAAATCTCCATCCATCTGCTCCTGGTCCAGCCCTTCCATCAAATTTTAGAACACTTTCTGGCCCACAAGCCAAAAAGGTTTCTCACCCCTGATCTAGGGTTAACATGAAGTTGCTACACTTGCTACCAATATTGTCAGCGCACTCAAATAGTTTATCACCGTGCGATAAAATAAGTTTTGATGCTAAATGAACATTAGTGAGGGGGATACGTCTTACCCATTTGCGTAAATGACGAGAAGAACCGTCTCAAACGTCAGTAGCTCGACATCCACTCATACGTGATTGATAGAACTAGCCCCGCCCCTGCGAGAGCTTGAAATCTGCTGAAATCCTCTAAGACCTTGACATGATACAGACAGGACAGAGACTCTTTCTGCAGGAAACATTCGCAGCAGAGCACGGGGAGAGACGGGGGTGATGTGCCGAGGAAGATGCTCGTATGATTGTGTTTTGAACAGTTACTTTGCGCTTCATACACACACCTTCCTCATGGAAAACACACGAAGAAATGCAGATGATGCAGCTTTTAAGTTAATGGCAATTGATGTGGCTGTGGAAGGAGGAAATAGAGCTGCTGCACATGAGCTCGCCATCAGTGAGTCGATGGTGAGATTTTAGCGACAGCAGTGTGACAAAATGAGTGCAAAAACACAACAAAAGCTTTCAGAGGTGATAAAAGCAGATAGCCCAAACTTGAAAACGTTCTTGAAGACACCTGCGGACACCTGTGGCTTATATTCAGATGCGGCCTATATATGTGTAATCTTAAAATTTTGTTACAAATTTAGTTGATGTGGCTTATATTCAGGTGCACTCAATAGTCCGGAACTTACGGTAACTCTTGTGAGCTTTACATCATGTTGAATGCTGAATGCTGTTACCTTGTCAAAAACAGACCTGGAGTTGTGTTTTGTTTCATTTACATGTTTGAGTAATCCTTTATTATTAGTCTGTCTACATCTCCAAAGCTCAGAATGCTCTGTTCCACCTTGTTTCGTCATGAAGTTTAGTTTTCAAGTTAACAGAAGAAAAAACTCAGCCTAAATATGCAGGGTTTGTGTGTTAAACATGTGAATGAAACAAAGCACAACTCCAGGTATATTTATGATGAGGAAACAACATTATAAGAGATCAGAAAATTGCGTAACGTGAGCCCTTTCATTTATTTTCAGTGTTGGAAAGTAACTCAATACATGTACAGAGAATACGTATTCAAATCTAATTCTGAGTAACTGCATTAGAGTATTTAATCATGTAATTTAAGCTTTAACCTGCACATAACTAGTGAGAAAAATAGAGAAACAGCACGCTGATTGGACCAGTTATCGGAATATGTTATGAAATACATTTTAATGCAGGTATTTAGTATTCTGTAACTAAATAAAAGTATTCTTCCTATCACTGTTGATTTTTCACCTGTTTAGTCCTGCTCTAAGGATCTTTTGGTCATTCCTTCACAGAGAAGTGTAAAGCCGGAGAGTTTGTGTGCTTCAATGGACACTGTGTCTCTGAGAAGCTGAAGTGTAACGGTGTGGACGAGTGTGGAGACGGATCTGATGAGGCCGACTGTGAGAAATGTGAGTCTAACCCGAAGTATTCTGCAAACCATAAACTGTATTTAGCAGTGGTGGAACATACTGAAGTAAAAGAACTAAAGCACTGCACTTAGTATACTGTACATACACACTTCACTACTTTTGAGAGAAGATAACTGTACTTCCTACTCCATTATGTTTTTGAACAGGACTGATTTTTTATGATAGTTTGAGACCTGCTGAAATGCTGTAGGGGTTTTTAACACATCTACAAAAATTAAAAACAGCTAGGAAAAAAAATAATTCTTCTGTTGAACAAACACAGATCTGTATTAAAATCACTACATTTGAATCTCAAAATCTGTGCAAAATACTTTTTACTCTTTTTTTAAACAGACACTTTAATTAATTAAGTAGATTTTTTTAACATTATTGCTCACACACAGCTCTGGACCTGGAGACGTGCTCAGAGTTCTCGTTCCGTTGTTCTGACGGACACTGTGTGAGTCGCTCAAACCCCGAATGTGACGGACACAGAGACTGCACTGACGGGTCGGACGAGGAGAACTGTGGTGAGTGAGAGATTCAGAGATACAAAACAATATTGTCTTTTATGTTTTTATTTTGCAGTGTTGTAGTACTTAAAAAAAACACTTATAGTAGAGTAATGTTGCTGTGCTTTTAGAGTGTGGGGCTCGTCCGTACCGCTCCTCTAGAATTGTGGGCGGAGTTGAGTCCCGTATGGGGGAGTGGCCATGGCAGGTGAGTCTGCACCTGAACAAAGTTCATGTTTGTGGAGCCTCAGTCCTGAACAAGAGATGGATCCTGACAGCAGCTCACTGTGTGTACCAAAGTTCCACCAACAGGTCAGTGAAAATACTGCAGTATACATCTGTGCACCCAACAGTTCATAGTCTATACAGTAGTGTTTCATAGATGTAAATACTGCAATTTACTACAGTGTGGCTAACAGGTCAGTGAAGAGACTAAGAGCAAATGCAATGACACAAAAATGAGTCATCTCATACAACAGCAGCATTTCTGTCCTGCAGGACTTTACTCATAGAAACAACAACAAAACACCTGGAGCTGGTTCTGACCTTGTGCAGCTCTCTGAGAGAATTCAAATGTTTGAGGGAACTACACTTTTCCTGAATTACTAACATCAACAAGAAAGACCTTAAAGGCAAAATATTCTGCATAATCAACTTTAAAAGAGCTTTTCACAATGTTATAGCGATCCTCATCATTATTTTATTTAGAGCTTGAGTGATCTTATAATGTTTGACAAATGCATAATATGTCTTCTTTAACACACACGGGACTGGGCTGGCTGTATTCAAATCTTGGGTTAGAAAATCAAATGCTAAAAAACAAAATCTATAAACAACTCAAGAAATAAAGCGCTGTTGATACTTTGCAGCTGATGTCGTCAAAATTCTTTGGAGGCATGATGCTAACTGTAGGCACTGCTCTGTCTGAAGCTCTGTCAGTCAAGTTAGACTTTAATCTTTGTTTTAATCTTTATGTGACCATAAAGAACTGACATAATTGGACCAACAACAGGTGAGATGATTTGTGCTCTTAAACAAGTCTCTCACACAATTAAAATTACACTCATAAGCTATTAGCCAATAGTTTTGTGTGATTTTTTCTTGAGCTTTCAGACAATCTTTAAAATTGTTTTGACAGTGTTTGCGTATGTGTGCTCCGTGTCAACTCAGGTTCACTTCAGCAGACAAGTTTGACGTGCTGCTGGGGCTCCATGCTCAGGGCAGTGCCAATGAATGGACAGTGAGGCGCAAAGTTCAGAGGATCATAGCCCATCCCGAGTACAACTATATGACCTATAATAATGATGTGGCTCTGATGGAGCTGGACAAAGACGTAGTCCTCAACCAGTACGTGTGGCCCATCTGTCTCCCCGCAAAGACACACCGCTTCAGCCCAGGGACCGAGGCTTGGATCACAGGCTGGGGCGCCACCAGGGAGGGAGGTAAGACTCTAAAAAAGACTCTAAACTCTACGTCAATCACTATTTCATATTTGCACCATTTCACCTTACGGCCACTTGTATAGTGCTGAGAAATATATTTGTATTTTTATATTTCTGTGCATTATTTTTACCTCATCTTAAAACCAACTTTTATTCTCTGGTTTTAACATGTCATAAGCTGCTTTATATTTATTATTATTTTTATTTTTATTTATTGTTTTTATCTGCCATATTTTATTCTTTTTAGTACTGCTTTTATTTATAGATTTTATTATTTGTATCTATTGCTTCTGTTACTTCCTTTTGTGTGGTACATAATTCTGCTTTTTAGAGTTAAATGTTTTTCAAAATTTGCTATACAAATAAAGTTGGATTGGATTGCATATACATTTATACAGTATAATGTTGCTTTATTTGACACCAGTCTGTTGCTATTTTTTCCACTTACTGTATTTTGAATTTATTATTACTATTTATATTTTAGCTTTTTGTTATTAGAATTGAATTGTGATGTGTGAGCTACTGTGTCCAAATTATTTCCCTTGTGGATCAGTTAATTGTCTTAAAGGTGTACTGTGTAACTTTTTAATTCAGGGTCCGTCACCTGCGTGTTTCTATGGAGATGTCATTGCTCTGCCTGGAATGACATTAACCAGCTCTGCCTTACATTTTTTCAATTGCAGGTGATTTATAGGTCAAAAATACCTAGAAACATATACATTCTGACTGTGAGCGGGGCTGCCTCTCCACACATCTGACCTGTAACTCGGTTTAGTTTGTTTGCCTCCACAAGAAAAGTTATACAATGCACCTTTAAGTCTCAGTCTAAACTACTGTAGCTCTGCACCAGTTGTTTGAGGTGTTCAGATGCTCAGACTTGATCTTCATGATGCTTTCAGGTACCGTAGCTCAGATCCTGCAGAAGGCCTCGGTTCGTGTGGTGAACTCCACTGTGTGCAAGTCTCTGATGGGGGACGATGTGACGGACACTATGATGTGTGCAGGAGTCCTTCAGGGGGGAATCGATGCTTGTCAGGTGAGGCTCCACATCTGTCCTACATCACTGCTTTACTTGAGTTATTGTTCAAAAGGTAAACACATAATGACCTATATTACACAAATGGATTCAGTGAGTTTAAGCCATGTTATAATGCTGTTACCTCCTCAAAAACATACCCAGAGTTATGTTTTGTTTCATTCACACACCCTTTATTATTAGTCTGTCTACATCTCCAAAGCTCAAAATGCTCTTTTCCACCTTGTGATGTTATTTAGTGGCAGTTTTCAAGTTAACAACTACCTTTTTAGTTCATTAGAGTCAAGTCTAAAATTATCCAAATGATTCTATTGAAAGTGTGTGAAGTTTTACAACACAGTCAAGCACTCTCTGTATCACCCTATGACACCACAATGTTTGAGAGAAGAACTTTTATTTATTTTTCTTTTGTTTATTGGGTCCCCGTTAGTCTTTACTGTGGTCAAGACTATTTTTCCTGGGGTTCAAGTTAGCATAATTTACAATAAAATGTTCCATTATAATAACTATAAAAGTTCACACCTAAGTTCATACAGTCCTTTTCCATAGTAACTACATCATAAACATTAAGTATAATATATCCAATAAATTACAATGAATAAATAGTGACTAAATATAATATAAGGTTGAATATACAGTTAAGGTTTGGGGGAGCGTGTTACAAAGCACTATCGCTCTGTACATAACAGTTCTTTTTTTTTCTTAGTCCTGGGAAGTGAAAGTATAAAATGGCCCTGTGAAGCTTGTTTTTTGTTAAAACCATCCCGAACTCATCCTAAATATGCAGGATTTGTGTGCTAATGTGTGAATGAAACAAAACACAACTCCACGTTTGTTTTCAATTAGGAAATAACATTATAACATACAAATAGATCAAAAAAGAGCATAAAAGGCCCTTTAAAGTAATTCGTCACATCAAAAATGTTTAACATTTTAATAATAATAATACATAAGACTTACATAGTGCTTTTTGGACACTCAAAAAAGCTTTAGAAATTATTAGAAATCAACAGAAATCATGGAGGGAAAGCCCGATTAAACAGGCGAATTTTTAGAAGTGATTTGAAGTGCTGCAAGGCGTCCGAGTTCCTGATGCATTGTGGGAGTGAGTTCCAGAGGGCGGGGGTGGCAGCAGCAAAGGCTCAGTCCTCTAAGCAATCCCCCTCAATCTCCAGAGTTGAGCTTTTAATTTATTCAGGGTTTTGGCAGAGGGCAGTTTTTAGTTTGCTTTAGTTCTAACCAGTGTTGAAAGGTAACAAAGTACAAAATACTTAGGTGCAATGTTTAGGTACCTGAACTTCACTTGAGTCATTTTTACAGTGGATACTTTTTGCTTTTACTTCACTACATTTGGGGGCATGTACTTTATATTCCACTACATTTTTAAACTGAACTGAAGAGTAAAGAGTACTTTTCTTTTTTATATAAGACCTGCTGAAATGACTGAGACTTATTTCTACACATTTAATTTGAGTTGACATCCCAAATTTGAGCAAACTAAATTCAAAAACAGCTAGAAAACCTAAGAAATCAATTGATTCACTTAAAATCATCTACATTCTTTATCAAAATCACTACATTTGATGCTTTAAAAGTAAAAATTAATCTTAAAGTATATTTTTAAACAGGTACTTTTTTTTTTTTCATGTGATACTTTTACTTTTACTTGATCTTCTTCTTAATCTTTTTCCCCTGTGTCTGTTACAAAATTGAGTGCTCCGTCCACCACTGGCTCTAACCATGTTGTGTTGTGTTGTGGCCCTCAGGGAGACTCCGGGGGCCCTCTCTCGGTGCAGGAGCCTAGCGGGAGAGCCTTCCTCGCGGGGGTGGTGAGCTGGGGAGATGGATGCGCTCATAGGAACAAACCTGGAGTCTACGCCAAAGTCACAAAGTTTAGAGACTGGATCAGGACTAACACTGGGATCTGAACTTAAACCAGGACTAAACCTTCCCTGACCAGCCGTTTTTTTTTCTACTTTCTCTCCAAATCCATAAGGAACTAGAACTGGACCATAGAGTGTGAAAAAACTCTGAGACAATCCAACCACAGCTGCTCATTTGTATCATGTGTCTTTCAAATGCAGAAGACTTTTCTCCTCTCCAAAATTCCCGTAACGTTCAGAACAAAATATACTGTATAACTTCTTTGACCAGAAATAAGTAATAGTTTGGTGCTTTGATTGCTGATTCTGTAAAATTCTGCATAGTTTTTCAGTCCTTTATGTGGCTTTTTCTTTTTTTTTCTTTTTCTTTTTTATTGTAAACCCCCATGTTTCTTTTGCCTCTCTCTGATTGGTTAATCCACCTGTCAATCAAGCCCTCTGAAATCATGGAGACAGAATCCAGTCGGCTCCAGATCCACTCACCTTTGTAAAGTTTTATCAAAGCGTGTGCTTCTCAGGTCAGGTAAGACTAAACCAGATCTGATGTGGTGCAAGATCAATGCTGGACCAAACCCAAAGGTCTGAATCAGGACCAATCTATAACTAAACCAGGGTTAAACATGGACTAATATGCACTGTTTGAAAAGAAAAGAATGAAAATGCCACAGGGTTTTTATGTGAATTTATATTTGAATCCAGGAATTACTGTTTTATCTCAGGTTTAATCTGGTTTATCCCAGGAAAAAAAAATGTTTTAGAGCTCATTTTTCAATCAAACCTGTTGTAATTATTGTGTTTGCTGCACTGTGTAATTCTTCTGTGATATTACTGTTATGAAACTATCAGATCTTTTTTATAAGATTTTACGTCTTGTTGCACTGCAGAGGTCTGTTTTTCCCCCATCCATCATAACAAGACAATATACAATATATTTATATTTTTTTTATTCAGGAGCTCCAGAAACAGTGTATACTCTTGGACATTTTTAAAGGTCCTATATTACGCAGAATTGACTCTTGTGAGCTTTTAGTCATGTTAGAATATTGTTACCTCATCAAAAACACATCTGGAGGTACGTTTTGTTTTCATTCACACATCCTTTATTATGTTACCTTTAGTCTGTTTATGTCTCACAGCTCAAAATGCTCTGTTCTTCCTTGTGATGTCATGAAGCTGTAGTTTTCAACTAAACAGTAACATTTTACCTTTAGGCTATGTTTATATAATGATGGTCTGAACAGAAGACACAAAAATGGCTTTGTGTTTTCACTTTTTATTCCGCGTTTAGTCGAGCGTTTTCTGGAGGAAATCTACGTGCATATGGTGACGCAAAAGTGTGTGGAATTAGATCAGGTATGCATGCCAGGTTTCTGTGTACTCTATGTATGTGACGGAAATCTGACCAGAGTTTTGCGTCTTGGGCAGTGTAGACGGAAACGCTACAAATTCAACTTTTCCACTCTGGAGGGTGGTTTCAGATTTTTCGCGTTTTTTAGCCCCAAAAACGCCATCACAGTCTAAACGAAAGGCACTTCCAATAAAATATTTTGTTGTTTTTACCTGCAAGCGTTCTCATGTAAACAGACCCTTAGTTCAATAAAGACTGCCAATTCCAGGCTGAAATGATCCAAATGATTCTAGTGAAGGTGTGTGGAGTTCAAAACACAGTGGAGCACTTCCTATATTACATGACATCACAAAGTGGAACAGTGTTTTCTGTTTCAGAGAAGAACTCAGCCTAAATATGCAGGATTTGTGTGTTAAAAATGAGTGAATAAAACAAAACACAACTCCAGGTGTGTTTTTGATGAGGAAACAATATTATGACAGAGCAGAAAATCATGTAATATTGCCCTTTAAAGCTTTGCAAGTACAATATTACATGATTTTTAGTGTGAATACAACATTGCTTTAAAGAAACGCCTTGGGAACAAAATATTATCGTCTTAATTTCGCTGGGTATTGCAGGCACAGTCGTCGCTTCTCTTTGCTGTTTCTTATTTATTTGTACATATTTTTTTTCCTTTTTGTTGCCGCACATGTCTCTTTATGTCAACATTAAAACTGTAATACGTTTGTAATATAATTGTGTTTCTGCAGTCACTTTGTGTGTTTAATTTCCCACATGGTCCATTAGCTGCAAACTGATAGGACTCATTACATTCTTATTAAAAAGCCTGTGAACATTTAGACACATGATATTTTTTTTTTTTTTTTTTTTTGAGGTTACAGTAAATTTCCATTCTCCAATGAGCAGGTTTTGTGTCTCCTCGGGGTCTGAATCAAATAAACAAATGAGTGGGAGGAAGCAAGGACACAAGGAGGTAGGGAAGGAGACACAGAGGAAAGGAAACACAGCTCTGAGGAAGGAAGTATGGATCGCTGAAGAAAGGGACAGGTAAAAGACTGCGTTTATTTCTATGATTCATAAATATTTTTGCTGTTATCCTCTCAATTATGTAATAGTTTATGTGTATGTTTTCATGTTTGTCTAATTCTGGTTAATACTTGGCTCATTGGGGTTGTAGCTGTGGTAGTAAGTAGTACATTACTGTACTTAAGTAACATTTTTAAGTATCTGTACTTTACTTAAGTACATTTAAAGTGGATACTGTTTAATTTTACTTCACTACATTTGAGAGCAGATATCTGTACTTTCTACTCCACTGCATATTTGAACTGGACTCAAAAGTAAAAGTATTTTTATTATAGTTTGAGACCTGCTGAAGGTTTATTTTTAACACGTTTGTAGTTTGAGCAAACAAAAATATACAAATAAAAACAAAAAAAAATGTATTCATTTGTTTCTGTTTGACAAAATTCAGCACAAATCTTTATCAAAATCACTATATTTGAAGCTTTATTAGAGCTCAAACTCTACTTAATGTGATACTTTTACTTGAATTTTTTTATTATTTTTTTTGCTCAGGTATCTGTTGCAAAACTGAAACTTCCATCACTGACCTGTGGTAAATATTAATCATAGTTTCACATCAGTTAAGTGGCAGTTTGTGGGGGGAAAAAAAAGTTGAAAAGAAAATGACAAAAACACAGGAAGTTGTGCTGAGTTCTAAAACAGAATACCTCTTATTCTTATTCTGTTGAAAATGCAGAGACAATTTGTGCACAAGGAAAGCATTTTTCTGACACTTTTAACATTCAAGTAACAAAAAAGGTGTTATTGTTTATTATTATTAATCTAATTGTATCTATTGTGCAATTTAAATAGGCTTTGGCCCTTATTAACATTATGGATGCTAAGTAAGAGTTATGAATAAGAGTTTCTGCTGCCCATGTCCAACCAGGAAGGACAGTGAGTAAAATTAGTACAAATTCACAGAAATGCTAAAACTAGAAAAGAATTAGACCCAGTTTCTAGTAAATCTTAAATACAATGATGTAGACTATGTTTTAGTGAAATGAGAAGTCTAATATGCAATTTTAATTTCCTCTATTACACAAATTGACTCTTGTGAGCTTTTACTCATGTTATAATGTTGTTACCTCCCCAAAAACAGACCTGGAGTTGTGTTTTGTTTTATTCACATGTTTGAGTAACACTTTATTATTAGTCTGTCTGCATCTCTAAAGCTGAAAATGCTCTGTTCCAGCTTGTGATGTCAAGATGTGTTAGTTTTCAAGTGAACAGCTTCTTTTACTTTTGCCTTTAGTTCAGTAGAGAGCGGCAATTCAAGGGTCTGAAATCATCCAAATGATTCTAGAGGAAGTGTGTAAAGTTTAAGAGCTGTGGCCACACCGACTTGTCAAAGCCTGATCCTGTCAGATCTCAGAAGCTCAGCAAGGCTGGGCCTGGTTAGTACTTGGATGGGAAACCACTGGGAATTCCAGGTGCCAAAGGGGGGCGCTAGTCACAAAAAACTGTAGTTGTGTCCTTAGGCAAGACACTTCACCCACATTTCCAAGTATGAAAGTGGAGTGTGTGTGAGTGTTGGTGGTGGTCAGAGGGACTGATGGCGCTGATTGGCAGCCACACTTCAGTCAGTCTGCCCCAGGGCAGCTGTGGCTAGTAGTTTACCACCACTGCGTATGGAGTAAATGAGTAATGATTTGTAAAGTGTCTTTGTGACATATGTCTGTGAAAAACACGATATAAATTAAGAGTTACTTAAAAACACAGTGGAGCACTTCCTGTATTGCCACATGGCATCACAAGGTGGAACAAGGTGGATAATTTCCTGTTTGAGTGAAGAACTCATCTTAAATATGCAGGATTTGTGGGTTAAACATGAATGAAACAAAACACAACTCTGGTTATGTTTGTGATGAGGAAAAAACATTATAACATAGCTCATAAAATTAATACGGGCCCTTTAAGACAAGATTTACTGGATTTTTTAAACATCATTTTCTTCCCTACTCAGTTCTTTTGTGGCTTAATACTTTGTGAGTCAGTATCAATATTTACTTTAGACAAGTTAATACTTGCAAATCACATTTAAGGCATGTGGACTTCATTATGACTTATATTTACTTAGTTCTGGTACTTGGATCCACATTCACTTTCTGATAAGCATCAATACCTCAGTTGCATAAACTGAAAAAAAAAAAAAAATCTTTATAGGATTTTGAGTTCTGTTATTTCTTCATTAAAGGTGCACTGTGTAACCTTTCTGGTGGAGCGTCCGTCATCTGCTTGTCTCATGGTGATGTTATTGCTTTGCCTGGGATGTTCCACAGTACAGCATTAGTGTTTAAAAATATATCTTGTATGTATTCATTTTTATTTGTGTTTTTATTCCTCAAAACTTCTGCAAAGACATGAATTCTTACAGTGAGTGGGCCAACTTCTCCACAGATCTGACCTGTAACTTTGCCCAGTGATGTGGTCTGCTTGTCTCCATGGAGATAGTTAAATTAAATGCCATACTGTGAAACATTCCAGGAAAAACAACAAACTATGACATCTACATAGAGTCAAACCCTTTACTAGAAAAGTTACATAGTGCACCTTTAACGATAAAATAATCTGATAGCCTGATTCATCAGCCGATTTCATTTTGTGGAAACCGTCTGACCTCGTAGCATTAAGATTAGTTCACTCGACGGTAGGCGGGTACTTTTTTTAATTTAACCAATCGCTGCTATTTGGTCGTGACGTATGTAATGCGCCGCTAACGGGGTTAACTGGTATATTAAGCTTTTCCCAAATCCCGTGGAAAGAAGGATAATAACATCTTTCCCCTTGATAAAAGTCACCAAAACATTCTCTTTGTTCCAGCTTTAAATCCTCGATCTTGGGAATCGTTGTCAACACAGAATATATGGCTCTTTGCTGATTGGTTGGTACCTAAACTTGCACTTCTGGGGTTTTTGCAAACCGTCTAGTGTATTCCCATTCCTGACCTAGTTGCTGGAGAGAAATGAAATTGAGCGGAGGCACAAGGTGGCCCCAGCCTGACTAGCACGGTGCACCTTTAACTATAAAATATTCAGCCATAGTTGTAGAGTGCTTGTCTTCTGGTGGGAAGGTTGGCGGTTCGAGTCCTGCTCTCAACACAGGTTTGTGGTACGGTTACAGCTCTCACAGATGAATACTGCTGTTGTGTCCTTGGGCAAGACACTTAATCCACCTCATCCCTAGTGTATTATTGTGACTGTGAGTGAGTGGTTCCTTGATCTAAACTGCTTTGTGTGCCCTGAAGGTAGAACAGTTTTATTTTAAAAGTGAACATTTACTTAAAGGTTCTAAATTGCAGTGTTTTCTGATCTATTTTTATTTATTTATTTATGTTATAATATTAATTGTTTTCTCTCAGTCTGTTCCAACTTGTGATGTCATGTGGTAATACAGGAAGTGCTCTTCTGTTCCACACTTTCACTAGAATCATTTGGATAATTTCAGCCAAGGAATTGCCAGTCTCTACTGAATTTAAGGTAAAAGGAGCTGTTAAATTACCACTACATGACATCACAAGGTGGAACAGAGCATTTTGAGCTTTTGAGATGCAGACAGACTAATAATAAAGGATTACTCAAGCAAAACGAATGAAACAAAACACAACTCCAGGTATGTTTTTGATGAGGTAACAGCAGTCTAACATGACTTGAAGCTCACAAGAGTTAATTTTTCATAATATAGGACCTTTCACTGACTTTATGAGCAAAAGTTAAGTTGAAAAGTGAAATCAAAATTCTTTGTCACAAGTCATGCCAGTTCCTTTTCATTTTTTGCAGTGCGTGTTTGAACTGCTGTTTGTATTTTTGTTTCATTTCTCCCTGAGGAGGTTTGGTCTGAATCCGTTCAAACCTGAATATTCTCACATGTTTAATCTTGCCACTCTCTTTCTGCCAGTGTTTCCCTGAACTGCAGCTTCAACTAAACGTGGCTCCGAAGTCTGTTTTTTCTGAACTGAAGCTCTGAGTGAAAACAGGACAGACCACGGTGAGTCGAATACCTCCTCCAATAATACTGTCTCTACTCAGTCAGTAGCTCTGTTGTTTTGTGGTGTGTGTGAAGGTAATGGTGGGGAGACGCAGCGGTGAATGAAGAAAGTTTTGTTGCTAGTAAAAGTAAAAGCAAAAGTATCACTTTAAAAAAAAATCTTCTTAAGTCAAAGTGTTTAAAAATGTGGTCAAAATGTGCATTGTGTAACTTTTCTGGCTGAGGGTTCACCAAATGTTTTTCTCTGTGGAGATGTTATGGTTTTGTCTGGAATGTTTCACGGTGTTAGAACATATGTATAACTTCTTACAATCACTTCATTCAGGATGTTACTATAAACATGGTAAAAAAAATCCTTAATAACCCTTAAAATTATATGTTAAGTACCTTTACTTTTCATTCCAGTTAAAAATGTAGTGGAGTAGGAAGTACACACACCTGCTCTCAAATGTAATACAGTAAAAAGTATCCACTTTACAGTTCAATTCATGTGAAGTACAGATATTTAAAAATTCTACTTTGCATGTACTGTATTTTATTACTTGTAGATGGATCTTGTCACAAATATGAATGAGCAGTAGGTCAACATCTGTGGCTTTTATTATTATTTTTTTATTAAATATTTGAAAATATTTTGTGACTACCTCAAATAGTTGTAAAAGTAACATAAGTCTTGTATTGTGGTGGGACACGTTGGTTTCACGGTGACTCTGCACCTCTGAGCTTGTCATGTTTTGCAGTTTTATCTCCCAAACACAGTGTCACACCGTTAGAAAAAAGTGTTAGTTTTATGAAAGGGAAATGTATGTTATTATGTTTTGTACTTTTCTCACTAATTCTTATCTGATTTGAAGGACAAAACATTAAATAATGCACAAAATCTGGTGTCAAAGGATAGACACAAATAAGAGAAAAATAAAAATAATAATATTGATATCTGATGGAGCGCTGCAAGAAACACAAAAGTTTAAATAATTTGATAATGTCAGCATAAAACTTTTATCACTTGTGGACTTACTCACAACAGGAAGAGCATCCAGTACTGTTACTTCAATAAAAGTATTACTCAATAGGAAATACACTAGTGGAAAAGTACAATTTCCTTAAAAAGTTACTCAAGTTAATGTAATTGAGCACCACCGTTGCTTTTGCGCAAGAAAACTACAGTGACCTAAATAAGTGGGAAAGGGCAGGTGGTCACTATAGGGCCGAGATCTCCAAACTTTTTCCTCTGGTGAGCTGCCTCTACAAAACTAAAACACCAGAGAGATCCTCATTTAAGTGGTCCTAAGAAATTGAGCTTAAAACAAGACTCAGATGAGGTACAGTTGATTCTTATAAAACCATGGATCTATTAAAATAACATACAAAAGAAAACATAGATCCATTATTTAGTTATCAGAGCACAAGGTTAGTTTAAAATGATATATGTACAAAGATAATTAATCAAATTCTATCCAGTTCAATACATATAATTCAGAAATTCAGGTTGGAGATGTCTGATGTAGGAACAGATTCAGCTGAAAACTACTATATTGTGAGTCAGTTCTTTCTATTGACATTGCATACTGCGGGGGAGTTGTTGTACTTTAAGCTCTCTGCAAGTTTAATTGTAGCTATGATTCCTGATGGTCGCAGAGGCACAGAACAGCAGCCACATCTCTGTCAGTCTGCCCCAGGACAGCTGTAGCACAGTGACTAAGAATGCAAGGGAAAGGAAAATGCACTTTGAGTCCATTTGCGTGATCTTAAATGCATCTTTTATTAATACTATTACTGCTTTTGCACACTGGACTGACAGATACTGATGTGATGTAGTGACAGTTTTCATGGCGTGGGCGTATGGCGCTTCCTGTTGCTCTTGTGTCACTTCCTGTGGCTGTGGTGTCACTTCCTGTTGTGGGATCTTTAGATGAGTGAGACATAAGGCTGAAGGTTTATATGAGAGAAGTCCTGGAGTCTGGTGAGTTCAATAACAGACGATACATGTTTTGAGTTTTTTTTTTTTTGCATTTCATTTTATTCTGAAAATCTTCGACCTGGCGCTAAAAGTGATTGTATATTATCTGTGTAATAAATATTTGACTAATTGATTAAAAAGTTTGATCATTTTTGACATTCTGTATTGCTCCTGTTGCGACTGAAGTACTGGAACATCTATTGCAAGAAAATATATTATAATTCACGAGACAATTCACATTTTTCAAGATTTAAGACTCATTATTTTAAACTGAAACTGGATTCACTGAATTATAACTTATGTAATGTAATATTTATGTTATTTCAGAGTGAGATATGTCATCTTAAAGTACCGCCAACAGCGTAATTTCTTCAGAATGAGCTCTTCCGGTCCACTTTCTCCAGAGGTACAGACTCCGCCCCCTGGTCCTTTGACTCTGTCCCCTTCGGTGACCACACCCCCTCCTCTGACCACACCCCCACCTGTGACCACGCCCCCTCGGAAATGCTCCATAAGACTTCAGGAAAGGTGAGTCTGATGTAAACTACCAGTCAAAAGTTTTAGAGCAGCCTAATTTTTCCAGTTATTTATTGCAATTCAAGTAGTGCAAGTCCAATGAAGAGCTTGAAATGGTACAAAGATAAGAACTGAACAGACAGAGGTTATAAAAAAAAAGATAAAAGATACAAAACACAAGTCCAAGCTCTGCCAAAATTACCTCAGGAAAAAAGAACAACATGGTGATCTTGAAAACATGGAGTGTCCAGCACAGTCTCCAGACTTAAACTCCGTCAAGCTAGTTTGGGATGAACTGAACAGAAAAGTAAAAGACAAACAAACTACAAGTGCCACACATTTATGGGAACTTCTGCAACAGATTTGGGAAGAACTTTCTGAAGAATATTTGATTTCTATTGTAAAAAGAATGAGCCACGAGTGTGTTCAGCTGTTATATCTGCCAAAGGTGGACACTTTCATGAATCAAAAGTTTAGATTATGTTTTGGTCAAGAGTAAACAGTAAAAAACTGGAAAAAGTGTGGTGTTCTAAAACTTTGGACTGGTAGTGTAGATTTAACTTGTAGTTTATTTTACTCTAAACCTGAGTATCTACATCCCATCTTTTTAAAGGGTCCATATTACACTGTTTTCAGATGTTATAATGTTTCCTCATCACCGACATACCTGGAGTTGTGTTTTGCTTCATTCACACTGCACAAAAATCCTTCATAATGTTGACTGAGTTCTTCTCTCAAACAGAAAACACTATATCCCGTCCTTTGGCAATACAGGAAGTGCTCCACTGTGTTTTTAAACTTCATACACCTTCAGTAAAAGGTGACGTTAACTTGAAAACTACTGCTTCATGAGATCACAAGATGGAACAGAGCATTTTAAGCTTTGAGACTAAAACTAAAACTAAAATTAAAAGATTGCTCATACTGCTGGTGAGTTGTTATACTTTAAGCACTCTGGATGTTTAATTGCAATCATATGTTAATGTGAATGAAACAAACCACAACTGTAGTTATGTTTTTGAGGAGTTAACAACGTTCTGACATGGCTTAAAGCTTTGTGTAATATATGACTTTTAAGTGGAACCAACTCAGTAACTCTTCAGTTTTTTCCTGTGTGTTTGCCCATCTCTTTTTTCTTGAACAAACTGTGATGTGTGTCTTTTGTTGCATGGGATCCAGAGCACAGGATACACATTGTCTGCCATATCAAAACTGCTTATGAGGAAAAAAGATAGGAAATAATATCATAAGGGACTGAAAAACATTGCAGATTTCCGCAGAATCAATGAGCGTAACACCAAACTCTGTTAATCTGAGGTGATAGAAATGTAATTTTGTTTGTAAATACTTTATATGTGACCAGTGAGCTCTCATTTCACATGTCACCAGTGTTGGGAAGTAACTGAATACATGTACAGATAATACATATTCAGAATACTAATTTTGAGTAACTATATTCTGGTACAGTTACTTTTTCATTTGGTGGGATTCAGAATACTTTTCTAAAATCAAAAGAATCATACAATTTTGGGTTCAAACTGCACATAATCAAACAAAAAACACTGCTCTTGTGGTGGGTGCAAGAGTCAAACAAACAGTGAAACAAACATAAAGCTGTTTTTAATTCTATGTTGCCTCTTTACTTTACAATTTAAATGCAACATAAAGATTAAAAGTATTCTAAGTATTCTGAATAAAGTTATCTGATTGGAACAAGTAGGAATATGTTACAAAATACATTTAATGCAGGTATTCAGTAACTAAAGTATTTTTCCCATCACTGTCTCACTGATATAAACATCCAGGAGACACAGCGGAAGACGTGCGGTCCAGACTGATGTCAATCTGTAGAAAAAACACACAGATATCAGTCAGGATTTAACAGATAACACTTTTTCATGAGACTTGAATTTTAAGAGAGCCTTGGCTACCTCAGCAGCAGCAGACGATTCTAGACTCTGGAAATCTGTCTCTCACAACGCCCGCCATTTTCACACAGTACAAGCTTCAGGGAGATGGGGTCACTGATGAAGAGTAACTTGTTTTGTTAAAGAGCTAATATCACACTGTTTTCTGATCTATGTTATAATGTTGTTTCCTTGTCACAAACAGACCTGGAGTTGTGTTTTGTTTCATTCACACGTTTAACACACAAACCCTGCAGATTTAGGCTGAGCTCTTCTCTCACTGAAAGCACTCTCTTCCATCTTGTGATGTCATGTGGTAATACAGAAAGTGCTCCACTGCTCTAGATGCTCTAGATTCATCAGCCAGTTTCACTTCGTGGAAACCGTCTGACCTCACAGCATTAGGATTCGTTCGCTCGACAGTAGACGGGTACTTTTTTTATTTAACCATTCGCTGCTGTTTGGTCATGACGTATGTAATGCACCAAATCCCGTAGGACGAAGGGCAATAACTTCTTTCCCCTTGATAAAATTCACCAAACGTTCTCTTTGTTCCGGCTTTAAATCCTTGATCTCGGGAATCGTTGCCAACACAGAATGTCTGTCTTCGTCTACATCCATCTCGACTGCTTTGTTTACTGTTGTGCTGTAACACAAAAGGGACCCAGACAGGCGCTTGAGTTTGACGTCATGGCTTCACAGCTCTTCACTGATGGATGCACGGCTTTCAAATTCCGAGGTTCTTGCAAACCGTCTAGTGTATTCCGATTCCTGACCTAGTCACTGGAGAGAAATGAAATTGAGCGGAGGCACTAGGTGGCACCAGCCTGGCTACCACAGCTCCACCATTTCAAGACAATCATTTGGATAATTTCAGGAGCTGGTGACTTGAAAAATACAGCTTAATGACATCACAAGGTGGAACAGAGTATTTTGAGCTCTGAAGATGCAAACAGACTAACTAAATAAAGGGTTATTACATGTGTAAATGAAACAAAATAAATAAATGAAATAAATATAGAAAGGAACAAAGCACATTTTTTTGGGACCATCTCTAACCTGCTTCTCTGATTGGTTCTCTGTTGCAGACGAGGCTCTAATCTCGCGCTCCTATTGGATGTGTCCAGCCTGGAGGAGGAGCCTCTGTGCTCTGTGTCCACGCCCAAAGAGGTGTGGCTTCATCTGCTACACACCTCCACACGCAGACTGTCCCCGGCCGAGCTACAGGAAGCAGCAAAGGACACATCAGCTCTGACACTGGAGTACCAGGTTATAAGTGGTTTCTAATGCTGACATTAAATTCTGTATAAAAGTATAAAGTCTAATAATAATCATATTTATCTTCATCAGAAAATTCCTCCAAACTTTGTCAGTTCAGTGGAGTTAAATGTACCTGGTCACATGATCAAAGATCGATATAAGACCATCCTACCTAGTGAGTATTATGGTTAACACAACTGCTATAACACACTTACTACTACTACTACTACTACTACTACTATTGCTACTGCTGCTCCTACTTCTACTACTATTATTACTACTACTATAACAACTACTACTACTACTACTACTGTTGGTACTGTTACTATCATTATTGCTACTTCTACTGCTGCTACTACTACTACTATTACTATTACTATTACTACTACTACTACTACTACTACTACTACTACTGTTGGTACTGTTACTATCATTATTGCTACTTCTACTGCTGCTACTACTACTACTATTACTATTACTACTTACTACTACTACTACTACTACTACTGTTGTTACTGCTACTGCTGCTGCTGCTACTACTACTATTACTACTACTATTGCTACTACTACTACTACTACTACTACTACTACTACTACTATTACTACTATTGATACTATTACTATTACTGTTGCTGTTGCTACTGCTACTGCTGCTACTACTATTATTACTACTGTTACTACTACTACTACTACTACTACTAGTGCTACAAGTACTACTACTACTACTAATACTAGTACTGCTACTACTACCAGTGCTATTACTTTTAACGCAGCTGCTATAGTACTACTACCATTACTACAACTACTGCCAGTGCTATTGAAATAGTACATAACAATATACTGCTGTATACATAACACAGTAGTAGTAGTAGTAGTATTTATTAGACTTGGTTGAAAAAACCCTGTTCTGCTCGTGGTCAGACCCAGAGACTCGAGTGGTTCTGAAGAGTCCAGAGGAAGGTCCAGACCGGTACATCAATGCCAACTACATTCGGGTCAGTACTGCTTCTACTACACCAGTACTACAACCTCCTCCTCCTGTTCTTACTACTGCTGCTGCAATGGACTCTGTCACAATAACAATGGAAACCTCACTGTGAGCGTCACTACTTCCTCTCCAATTTTATCTCTTTGGGGTTTTTGCTGCGTCGTGCTAAAATGAATAAATATTTAAAGATGAGGCAGTGTACAAGAAGCTGTGGGCAGTTGTCACTGAGAACTACAATAAATAACTTTTGTATTTAGAAGAGAGATCTTTGTGTCTCAATGCTAACGCTAAAGCTAATTTGCTAATGCAAATTTTCTAATGCAAATTTGCTAATCCTAAAATAATAAATGTCACAACAGCGTCACAAACTGAAGTAATCTGCATGTAAAAATAATTAGGAAGGCTACTATTTGAATCAATTAGAATTTTAATACACTGTTTATTTTATGTTGTATAATTGTAATAATAGTGACAGTTAGTTTTGAGACACAATGAGCGAGCTAGCCACTGCATAAAATCACTCCTTCCCTGGGTTAGTACTGTAATTTTTTATTCTACTTCAAATTCTAACTATGCTGTGTACTGTACATATCAGTCAGAACTACACCACAGCAAATGTATTTACCGGGGACAGTCCCAGTTTCTAGCCGTGTGTCCCCTGTCCCAGCAGATTTATACAAAACCAGTGATTTGTCCAAGTTTTATACAAGAAATGTCCCAGATGTCCCTATTTTTGACCAATACCTGTCAACAATAAAGAGAGTAATACATTGTCATTTGTTTAGGTAAAATACAGAAAAGCTGCTTAAAAATGAACCACAAACCACAAAGAAAATGTGACTATACTGACAGCAACGAGGAAATTATAACATGGCTCAGAAAATAGTGTAATATGGACTAATAGTGTTTTTATTTTCATTTTGCAGGGGTATAAAGGAGCACCTAAAGCATACATCGCTACCCAGGGCCCCATGGTGCACACAGTGGGGGACTTCTGGGACATGGTGTGGCAGGAGAAAGCGCCTGCCATTGTCATGCTCACTAGACTGAAGGAGGAGCAACAGGTGCAACCTCTTTCCCCAGACACTTCCTCTATGTGATACAAATAAATGAAATACATACATTACTTTAGACTTTGTAGTAATGGAGTTGTAATGTATTAAACAGTGACACAGTTTCTAGTGTTTGGTGAATACAGACGTCAACAGATTTCTTTATAATTACAGTTATCCACTGTTAAACGTGTTACACAAAATCGACTCTGTCTGTCTCTCTCAGAAGTGTGAACTGTACTGGCCACAGTCCGACTCTGAACGGAGCTGTGGATCTTTTGGACGATTTCAACTCCAGGTCACAGACAGGAGCGAGAGACACGGCTTCACCATTACCGACATCAGTGTACAGGTGAGAATACTCCACCACCTCCCACTCCCCAAACACCTCCTCTCCCCCAGACACCTCCCTCTGCCTAGACAGTTTCTCTGACTTTTCCCCCCACATCACAAAAATGTCTGATATGAAGGACTTGAAAGCTACGGAGCCCTTAAAGTCCCTAAACTTGTTTGCATAGCAACAGCATAGCAACAAGGCAAACTGATAAAATCTGACAGGAAATGACAATGTAATTTTGATCAGTAAAAACAGAATTGAATTTAATGAATGATCAATACCTTCTCCACAGAAAAGAGCAGGTGGTGTACCCTCACTAAAAAAGTTGTATAGTGTATATGGTTAGAGCAGTATCGATATCAGTAAAAGCCCTTCTTGGGTCATTATGTTGGGTCTGTACGCCCTCTTGTGGCGATTTGTGATAGTGAAGGTTGAGTCAGTACTTTTTGGTTCATTTGTGGATCATATTACATTTGTGAAAACATGGCCTACAAATCAGTGTGTTTTCTAATAACATTATTAAATTAGTAATACAGTATAAGTTTGCCTTGTTGCTTTGGTTATAAAGCAAATTATCTTGTGTGAACAAGATTTTTTAGGGGACTTGAGCGGCTCTGTAGAATTCAGAATATTAGATTGAATTTGAGTAATTTTAAACAGTTAATACATTTTATTTTATGCAAAATAGCTTGATCGCAGATTTAAAGCTATTTTAACTTATTTTCAGTGCAGAATTGTTTGTTTCTCAGTTAAACTCAGAATCCCGAAGCGTCAGACATTTCTGGTTCTCGTCATGGCTCGATCACCATGTCCCAGAACACACCTCTGCTCTGCTGCGACTGGTCCAAGAGGTCGAGGACTTCTGCCCTCAGCCAGTCACAGATGAGGAGAACAGGAGTGGACCCATCATTGTCCACTGCAGGTTAGACCGTTGTAAACTGAAATGACTTGAATTTTGAGTAATATGTTTGTAGAAGTAGTATATTATGTAGAACAGTCATTATTAGGTGCTGTTCTTCAGTGCAGGGATAGGTCGCAGCGGCTGCTTCATTGCCTCCAGTGTTTGTTGTAAACAGCTCAGAGACTCTGGGGCAGTCGATGTTCTAGAGACGGTCTGTCAACTGAGACTGGACAGGTACTACTACTATTCATTTAATATTCATCTACAGATTCATATACTACTACTACTACTGCTACTACTACTGCCACTATCACTACTACTATTACTACCTCTATGATTACTACTACTGCTATAACTACACCTAAAAAACTATTTTAAAGGTCCTGTATTACTCAAAATTGACTTAAATCTGTAAGCTTTAGACATGTTATACTATTGTTACCTCCTCAAAAACATACCTGAAGAGAGTGTTTTCAGTTTGAGAGAAGCCTAAATATGCAGGGTTTGTGCGTTAATGGAATAAAACACAACCTCAGGTCTGTTTTTGATGAGGAAACAACATTATAGCATAGATCAGAACATAATAGGATAATATGGGCCCTTTAAAAATCACTGTGTTTTCCGCCCCCTGCTGGTCAGAGGAGGGATGATCCAAACGCAAGAGCAGTACCAGTTCCTGTACTACACCCTGGCACAGTACTCATTACTACTACAGGTTAGTACTCCAAGACTACTGCCATTTGAGTCATTATAGTTCAAAGTATCAGTTGTATTTCTTTCTCAAACCTACAGGGTGAGAGTGTGGAGAACTCAGAGCTGGATTTAGACCTGCACAGACTACAGCTACACGAACAGTAGCAGGAGCAAAAGAATAAAAGGTCAAGGTTTTAGTATTTTTTGTCGAAAAAATATGTTTACTGATTTTTTTTAAATGTTATATTAAATGTAACTTAATGTAAATAATAAAAACTGTCATTGAGGTATCTTTTGAGTGTGTGTCATATGATAGATTGTATTAGTGTTGTCGAAGGTTTTGAAAATCTGATACTAATTGATACAGTTCGATTTCAGTTCAGTTTCTTTATTGTCATTGTCATATAAAATCACAATGAAATTACATCAGAGCATCACCACAACTGCATAGTATATTAAAAGTGCATAATAGTGTAAAGCACCCACCCTATAAGACCCACTATGTAAACATTAACATTAGTAATAATATCAGTGCAGGAATAAAATATGGTAAACAGTAAACAAAAGGGCATATAAACAAAACAAAATAAATCAAAAGAAGTGGGACATCAAGGACAAGGTGCATCCAGTCAGATTGTGTATTTTGGGCCAGTCTACATGTTCTGGTGTGTATGGACCTGTACCTTCTACTTGAGGGCAACAGGTGGAACAGGTGATGGGCAGGATGGTGTTGGTCACGCAGGCCAATGATTTTCCGTGCTGTTTTACCAACCGCTGGAGTGCCTGCTGATCAGCCTTAGTGCAGCTGGAGAACCACAGTAGGAATCCACATGTCAAAACACCATCATCTGTTTTCAGATCTTCTCATTTGCCTCAGGTAGTAGAGCCGTTGCTGGGCCAGTCACAGTCACTCCCAAGTATCTAAAAAGTGTCACCCTCTCTACCACCTTGTTACCAATAGAGAGTGGAGGTTGATTGTATTTTCCTTTGCGGTAATCCACAATTATCTCCTTGGTCTTCTTTGTGTTCAATACCAGGTTTCTGCTGGCACACCTGTTGTTTTTTGTTGACGCATTTTGCTGACAAAAACTAATATCAAACTTAGATACTTGAGCAAGTTTTGATGCTAAAAAAGTCACATTCACACTACAGAAATTAACCTCTCCTGAATAGCTTTGGAAAGAACATGAGCTTCATTAGTACCGTATAAGAACTCATAGACGAGTGTATGCCCATGGGCCACTATATAACCTACCTGGATGACTATAATATAAAAGAAAGCACTATTATTTAACAAAAATCGCATTCCTTGGCCTAAATAAAGTGTTTTTATTATCATTGTGGTATCGTAGTCTGTATTGAGTACTGAATCTATTCTTTAGTATCAAAATTGAGTTTTAAAGGTCTTTTATTACACAAAATTGACTCTTGTGCACTTAAAACCATGTGAAAAATCCTTCAGTCGTCCAGGTAGAATTCATGGCAAAAGTTTATTTGGTCGAATACGTTTCGCAGCTCATCCAAGCTGTTTCTTCAGTTCTGGTCAGATGCTGGTGGACACTCCCTTATGTCTGCCTGCAGGGAGGAGCTAACTAACAATTCTGAAACTAACGCATCTACTTGTTGACAGTTTCTGTTCGTTAGCTAGGCCTATTGAACTGCACTGAGTGTGGGGTCTCATTAGCATAACTCAAAAGAGTGGCCCGTGTCTTTTAGCTGGAGATTTATAGCAGACTGAGGACCACTATTGCTCTCTCTTCCTGTTGTGGAGGGGCTGTTTAGTTTCTCCAATGCAGAGCTCACTGCAGTCTTCACTACATTTACATGTTATAATGTTGTTACCTCATGAAAAAAAAGACCTTGAGTTGTGTTTTATTTCATTCACATGTTTAACGCTTTAATATTAGTTTGTCTACGTCTCCAAAGCTCAAAATGCTCTTTTCCATCTTGTGGTGTCATGAAGCTGTAGTTTTCAAGTTAACAACTACATTTCCCCTTGTGTTACCCATGACATCACAAGGTGGAGTGTTTTTTCTTTTTTTCTTTTTGAGAGCGAAGAACTCGGGCGAAATATGCGGGGTTTGTGCATTAAACATGTATGAATGAAACAGAACACAACTCCAGGTATGTTTGTGATGAGGCAACAATATTATAATATAGATCAGAAAATAAAATAATATAGGCTCTTTAAGTTTTAGTATCGTGACACTGGATTAGGATATTTTTGTTGTGTTTTTAGACTTAGTGTGTGGCAGTGAAGTGAGTTATCTTTGTGTCACATGTGCGTCATGGTCTGATTAACAGTGTACAGAACTGGAACTGTCTTTCAAGGAAATGTTTTGACTGATAATAATCAGTCAATCATCCTTCAGGGATTGGCCTTCTAAACAAAAGCTGTGTGACAAATTAATTTTAGAATAAGTAAACAAACATTTTTCTCATTGTAATATATACACATTTTCTCATAATTGTGCCTAGTTATATTTTAGTTGTAGTTATACTTTCCTAGTTGTATTTTAACGGACAAAACATAATCCAATTTTGTTCCAGATACATTTTTTTAAGGCAGACCTATTCAGCAAAATTACTTTCCAGAGCTTTTTCTGTGCATGCTTGAGCAATCTAATGTTTTTTTTTTTTTTTTTTTTTTTCATTTTCTTATTATTTTCAAGATGCCTTATCATGCCAACATCAAGATGCCAACATCAGCTCCCATTGGGCACCTCTATTTTCTAACACAGAAGTCAGCACTTTTGTTTATTTTATTATGTTGTTTTAGATGAATATTCAGATTTAAAATGTCCATATGATAATGGACATTTTAAATCATCATGATCCACAGGTGTCATAGATTATAACTATATAGTAGATGCAAGCACAATAGGTAAGTGAAATAGATAAAACAAGTATAACACAAGGATGTAGTGACTGTAACACAAATACATAAACAATATTCTTCTCCCAATCCCATTTTCAATATCCTGGAAAATAAAATATTGGCATCAGTGTCTAACTCAACAGCAAGCAACAAGCAGCAAAACCACAACTGGAGTTAACTGAGTTCACTGAGATTCAGGAGCAGGACCACACCTCAACCTCCCCCTGTTCCTCTCCAGTTTATCTTAATTACACCTTCAATTACCAGAAGCCCTATTTATACAAGCCTATCCTGTCTGTCTTTGTTCTCCTGACCCCCTCCCAGTCCTTGTCTCTTGTTCATCCTCTACAAATGGGGGGGTTGGGATGTGGGTCCTGAATCAGGTGGACTGACCACCTGAGACCAAGCCCCCCCCATCCAGAGTCTCCTCCCAGCCATCACATTTATCGTCAATGAATATTTTTATCATATTCCATTGTTGTGGCATGGTCCTTGCTAGTGAATACCAAGTGATAGGAACCTCAGGAAAAAGGAACATGAGAAAGTAAAGAAATCCCAGGGACTCAAAGGAGAGCTGCAGAAGGCCTGACAGGTCAGAGCACTCGAGGAAGTATATTATTGCATTATATATATTGCAATAAATGCAATTCAGAATGACTGTTAGTCCGTAGCGCCATACGACCCCACATTCATTCTGTCAGAATGGGGCAGAAGTCTCTGGACCTCTTCAGGGCTGGTGGTGGTGTCCTCCGCAGACTGGTCTTCCTTGGAGCCCTGTGATATAGAGGCTTTGTTTTAATTGGAAAATATTTCCAATTGCAGTATAGTAGTTCTGAGAATTGGGGTGGGTGATTTTGACCAAAAAAAAGGAAAAAAAGAAATGTATGTACTCAGACATGTACTAAAACTTGTCTTTAAATGCATTTGTTGAGGTTTAAGTGTCAGACAAGTAAAATGATTCTAGGTGTACCCCCTGTACTTTGACTATCAAAGCATCTCTGTGTTTCTTATGGTACAATCTTAATCTTAATCTTAATCTTTTTCCTGTATCCATGGATACTGTGCAAGAGGTTAGATAAGTAGCTAACTGAGAGGCTAGTTGTGGACATTTGAGATGCTACAGGCTTTTTACTCCATATGTGGCAGCAGATCTTCCAGAAGAAACACTTTGAGAGAATGGACCATTTCATCACCAACCAAAACACTAGAGCGGAGTAAAACAAGGCCTTTCCTGTTGACCCGACTCCTGGACATTGCTGTGATGCTGAAGGACACTTTAGCTCTGACCCTACCTGGCCAGTCCTCCGGAGACCTGAGAACTTTGACTGAGGCACAAAGGCCACTGAGAAGCACAGTGGAAACAATGCAGCAACATCATCAAATGCAACAACTTGCTGCAGTAAAACTTGAATTTGCTTCGAGATCAATAAAATATCTCAGTTCAGCTAATAACATTGTTTTGAGTACTTTATATCCTTTTTTGGACATTTACAACAAACGTTTCATGAACAATACTAATAAACTGATATATTTTTATGACCTGCCCAGTGCCCACAGGGGGTGCAGCCTGTGTGACTCACCTGTAGGTGCTTCATGAGCTCGTCCCCCACACAAAGACACTTGTCCCATTTTCTCCCCTTTATGCGATCTTTAAGACACTTTTTCAGTTCATCTTTGACCCACTCCCCTTGTTCTTCCATCAAGATCTTCTCCTCTTTTTCCAAAATGATGTCTGCCCACATCATTTTCGGCGATACTAAACACTTCACCACCAACGCCAGAAAGAGCATGAACAAAAGCAGAGACAGGCCACATATCTGGGGAAAAAAGAACACGTTTAATTGTGAAACCCTGAAATGGCTGACATGAAAACATATTAAAAATGTAAAGACATTAAGTTGGATTTTAATGTATTTTCTTTGCAACAAGCAACAGCAGCTAATGTGTTCTGGCATAGCCTTCTTAATAATAATAATAGTACATATTTTGAGTGGGGAAATGTCCTCACAACATTTTTCAAATCAGGAAGGAGTCATTTGCCTGGGAACCCACAAATTGGCCTAATTTTTAATAAACTGAGCCAGTTTAGTCTGATAATCTAATAACTGAAATTGTGTGTCCACTCTGCCCTCTTTCCATCACATCAGGTCATTGCATTAGTCTTATATAATATTTCCAGATTTTCAAACTTGTTTTACAGTTTTGTGTTTTTAAGCTGTCATTGTGTTCACAGCTGCTCTAGGTTTGCCAAGTCAGTGAAAGTCCCTCCTACTTTCAGTTCAAATGCAAGTGTAACCTTTGATTTATTTTGATGCATATTATTTAATTTATTCATATAAATTTGTGTGATTATTATTTTATATATTGCTTGGATAATTAATTAATATTATTTAGCATTTATTTTATTAACAGTTCATTGTTGCATTGTGTTGGGTTCTGTTATGTTGTTTAGTTGTTTCAGTGGAGCGTTTTTGGGGAGCGCACCGGTGTGGATAGAAGAGAACGTGCACTGCGCGCAGAGAGAGAGAAGTGTTGCTCAATAAAGCATATTGGACACTGTCCTGCCGTGTTGGTTTTTTGTAGCAAGGAAACCTACAAGAACTTACAATTATAACATCTCAGTGTAACCCGACACACCACAGCCTTAAGAGACTGGTAACAACAACAACATTTTAGGGTTACACAAGTATCATCAATCATTATTTATTTATCAATTACTCAATCATAAATGTGGTTTCGACTACAGACAAGTGCTGGGTTAGACTGGTGGGAGCATAGAAAGTGATAGAAAGTTTTAAAGAGGTGCACTTACTCTAGAAAAATTCTTCCATTCTGTCACATCACGTTGGTGTTGTTGTGTCAGGCGAAAGTCTTTGTCACATGAGACATTATGTTTTAAATCGTTGAAGCAGCAGAGCATCCAGTCACCGTTAACCAGCACCAGCTCGACCCAGACAAGAGCAATGAACAACGCTTTACTCAAACGCAACAGTGCAACCCGATAGAAGACTCCGAAGATGGCTCTCTGGAAGCGCTGGTCCACACACAGCTGAGCAAACAGGATGATCAAAAATGGTACAGTCATGTAAAAGATGCAGTCTTTGAGGGGGTTCTCACAGGTGCAAGGAAGTTCCACCTCAAAGACAAGGTGGTAGATTAAGACCAGGGTGATGAGGCTGAAGGCCAGTGCCTGCTCCAAGAGTTTACCAAAGACATGACCCAGTGCCTCGTGAACCCCATCCATGGTTCAACACAGCAAGAGGTTTAAAAGCTTGGTTTCTCTTTTACTCTTTTATTTATTCAGAAATCACAGCCTAGTCCAGATGTAGGTGTTACTATTTCAGGCAGTTCCAGTTGGTCCACATTGTTTAGTTCCAGTTAAAGGTCAGTTTTAATTATTAAAATAAAACTATATGAACTTCTCAAAACAATTTTAAGGTGCACTGTGTAACTTTTCTGGTGGAGGGTGGATGGAGATGTAACTGATTTGACTGGAATGTTTGGCAGTATAGCATTAAACTTGTCTGTCTCCATGGAAACAAGCAGGTCATGTCACCAGGTCAAGGTACTGGTCAGATTCGTGGAGAGGTGACCTCACTTTCACTAAGTATGCATGTTATTCATTGTATTTTCTGAGACATAAAAACACTTCTAACAATTTAATGTCAAATAGATAGTATTATAGTCATACTGAGCAACATTCCAGGCAAAGCAAACACATCTCCATGGAGACAAACCTCTGATCAGAAAAGTTATATAGTGCACCTGTAAGGTACAGTTTATTGCCCCTATATGGACGATGCATTTCACCCATCTTTTAATGCCAACCTGTCAAGAACACTGGGTGCTGCAGTATCACGCCCGGGGACCCATCTCCTGATCTTGAGCTTGACTGGAGGAAACTCACCCAGACACAGGGAGAACCACGCAAAAGAACAGGACAGGGGCTAACACATGTCCCTGTGGTGTCCTGTGTTTGGAATGAACGGGTGAATCAGCCCCCCATTCACCGCCAAGCAGAGAGCTGTCTGAGCAAAATGTCAGTTTGCATTGCATTGATCCTTTGCAGTTGATGCCATCTACATTCTGGAGGTGTAAAGCTAACTGTAGGCACAACTCTGTCTGAAGCCCTGTTCCTCAAATTAAACTTTAATGTGAGCTTTGTTTTAACACAATCTAACCATAAACAAAGTGTAGCTGGAGCTACACCAGGTGAGCTGATTTGTGCTGTTAAACAGGTCAGTTAGTCACTCTCCCCTTTCTGTTGAAAATCAAACACGTCAATGCAACATAAACAGGCCTGTACATTACAGACATGAATAGAGTGAGAGATGGCTGCACCTTGGAGCAGATGAAAAATGTTTTGTTAAAACACCACAGTGTATTTTTCCTTAGTGATTTTGGTTTCTCTTTTAAAGTTGACTGTTGTTGATTAAAAATCCTGTCACTTGGGTTTTCCTCGTCAGTCCACATTCCAGCTGTGTGAACATAGGCTTTTTCAGATGCAGTCACTTGGTTTCACTTTTATTGTTATGTAAAAATCTTTGGAAACCCCAAAGTATCAACTCCCCTACGGTCACAGTATATTCTCTGGTTCAGACTGGAATATATAGGCTCTATAACTGTCAAAGTGCATGAGGGTCTTTATGACTTTTAACATCCAACCATGGAACAAACCTCAAATATCAGAAGATGCCTATCCAACCAAAGAGTTTGATCAGGGGAGAAGGAGCTTTTAGAGCTGAGCAAGAGTTCAGTAGTATCACTGACTGAGCTCTTCATGGAGATGGAATAAGTTGGAGAAGAGTCTTGGACAGGACATCTTAAAATTCAGTTTTGAGCGAGTTTATTTAGACAAACACAAAAAGGAAAGCTGGATATATGGTCAGAGCTTAATTTGTAAAACAGTTGCCAGCCCCTTTTAACACCAGTAGAATTTCTCAGATAGTTGTCGGATTCTCCAAAATAATTCTCAAAAAAATCAAGAGGTGAGTAATACGTTCCCCTGCGAAGACTGTACTGACCTTATTTGGCCCCACCCGCATTTGCCTCTAAATGCTTCTAAACCAACTTTCGTGGTGGTGGCCCCTCAAATTAAGTGGGGATCCCTTTCATTTCATGAAGAATTAAAGAAAAGTTTTGTTACTTTTGACTTTATATGACATGAAGTAGGTTGATTTGTGTCAGATGTTCAATATCAGGACAGTGTGCACCAAAATATCTCTTTTCTGGGAGGCTTTAAAACAGCTCAGAATTTGTTTGGTGTCAAGATTTACAGCCCCATGCAAATAATACAACCCAAATGACAATGCCGATGGTCCATAGCGACTTCTGGAATAAGATGCCTTTAATCCAATCTGATTGGTTTGTTACTAATGTTTATATCTTGATTTAAGGACAAAATAGTAAAATAAAAACTCCAGGATAATCTAGGATGAGTTAAAAGATCAAAATAAAACAAAAAGTGTAATATAAAGTGTAAAATATCCAAAATGTGACACTGTTATATTAGTGTTAGGAGTCATGATGTGATGTCTAATGCTTGGAGATTAAGGGGATGCACTCAGAATTTGAGCGTGTTCTTCCATGTGCAGATGAAGCCCCCTGGTGGCCTGGAGTCCCATGTAAAGTGACTGCAGCTGTAATCTGGGACAGTGTCTCCTCTGATGGGGGGTTTGTAAGCACCTCCTCTCCCACATTGAAGCAACTGTCCCAGTTGGATTGTGGAATGTGGTCCTTCAGTTTGTCCAGCAGCACCAGCATGGCCACTTCCCTCATTTTTTGGGGAACAAACTTATCCCCTTCTTCCAGAACTATGGCCTCCCAGCTATCGCTTGTCCAGCATTTGATTTTTTTCTGGACTAATGATACAAGGAATGCTAGAAAGAACAACACCAGAAGAGCAGACAGCCCATAAACCTGTAAAAACAATACAAAGGCACATTAAGGTACGTACATGGAAGGTACAGTGTTACTGCTTTGTGTGAAAAGTTTAAACATCTAGTATCTTCATCAAAACAAGTAGATGACACTACCAGGCCAAGTTGCTCAAACTAATCTAAAAGTAGGCTCTTTGTACTTGTCATCTGCTGATGAACAGGTTGCAGACTGGATACAACATTCACAACTACATCTTAATATATCAAAGTCAGTTGGTGTGGCATATGGCAGTTGGCTGGCATGGAAACAGACCCAGATGTATTTGTGCTTGGAACAAAACTGGAACTGGTCCATGAAGTGAAGTATCTGGGAGTCATACTGGACCCACAACTATCGTTTAAACAACACGTCAAAAGAACAGTGAATAAAATCAAATATAATTTATCAAATTTTTGTCATATAAGAAATAATCTAACAACAAACTCGGCAATTATGTATTTAAATTCAAAGATTTTGCCGTATCTAAATTATTGCATTAGTAGTTGGATTCTGAAAAGCAAAAGTACTCTTAAATTAGCTGAAACTATCTAAAAAAAAACAACAAAAAACACTTAAGGTATTAAACAAAAAGACCACTAATTATCACTATTGCAGAATACTTGACAAATACAAATATCTAAATTGGCACAATACAATTAAATATGCAGATTTAATTTTGGTATACAAAGTTTTTAATAATCTTGCTCCACCTCCTCTAAAGGAGTTTGTGAAAAGAAAGTCAAATCGCACAGCAAGAGCAGCTCTAGAGGCGACTGCTCTGTGCCGTTTAGGAAAAGTGCTTTTGGACAGACTCTTTTACTTATCGAGCAGGACAAACATTAAGTACAGTGCCTGCTCATATACGAGAACTTCCAACACTGGCAGAATTTTCTAAAGCTTTAAAACAGTGTTTGTTCAATGGCCAAATATGTCCCCATGTTTAACCAAATAATTTTTTTTTTTATATTGAGAGGTTGTTGGTTTAACTCTTGATTTAACTCTTAAACTCTTGATTTTGAACTTCAAATGAATTGTCTGAAATTTGTATGTATAGTGAGTGTACAGTGAGTGTGTTGTTCTATGTATAGTGAATGTGCTGGTGCTGTACTTTTGTGTGATTATTGTTGTACATTTCCCTGTCCTGTAGATGATTTCACAACAACCTGCTGAGGGACTAAAGATGGAAATTAGCCACATTGGCTATAATCTTACATGCTTATATTTTTATTGTTCATTAATATGTGCTGTCCCTTTACAAATAAATAAATAAGAAAATAAGAAATAAGAAACTTGAACCAGGACAAACTTTAAACCCATTGTTCAGTGTGGGTTTGGTCCGGAGCTAGTCTCTTACTTCTTCTCAATACTTGCGGCCACAGAGCATTGGTGCTTCCACTGACACATAGCTGAGGGGATTTTCTAACACTGAACTACTGTACAATAACCATATTATGCCATACTGTGAATACTTTAAAACTTTCCAGCCAAGGCAATGATCACAAACATTTGACAGAGCCCCACCACAAGAAAGGTGCAAGATTAACATTTATTCATCTGAATATGAGAAATTGCCAGAAAAATGTGCCTACTTACTTTAGATTTCCCTTTCAGATCATTCAATTTCAACCTCCTTATCGGACAGCTGACACTCATCTTTACAAGTGATGTTTTGGTGTAAGAGGTCAAAGCAGCAGACTGTCCACTCCCCGTCGATGAGAGCTGACACTGGCCAGATGAGGCTCACAAACAAGGCATGACATAATCGGCTTAATGTGAGACAACACCTCCCATGACAGAAGGCTCTCTGGCAGCGTTTGTCCGTCCACAGCACAGCAAAAAGGATCACAAATAATGGTAGACACATGTTGAAAGCACAGTAAGTCTTTGGATTCTCGCAGGAACAAATCAGCTCTTCTTCAAACAGAAAGTGGTAGCCAAAGATGAGGATGACCACCACGTACAGCTTAGCTCGCTCCCGTACATGTGAGACGATATGGCCGGCCATCTCAGGAGAGTTTTCCATGTTTGACCCTCGCTGCCTGCGCACTGATACCCTCACTGTTGTATCAGAGGAGACTTCAGCCTGTGAGTTTTGGTTTCTCTTGTCTGTGTTTGTTAAGGAGACAAATCTTTTTGGGGTTTTGCCAGGACAGCTGTCATTCAACACTGACTTTTCTCTTCAGTCATTGGGCATTTTGAGTTGATAAAGATTTTTTCAAACCTGTTTTGTACCTGTATGCTTCGTGTGCAACAGCGCAGAGTTCTGAGAATTCATCTTGTTTTTATTTCATTTACTTTCATTTATTACTTCTCTTTCACTACAAA